AGTCTTCTTAAAACCAAACAACAGATTATTTTAACTAGTATTAACTGTCTGCCTCGAGCATTATGCTCTTTTAAGAACTATCTATACAGGATCAAAATGTTAACAGCAACTTGAAAGATTAGATAGGAAATTTCGGAGGCAGTGAATTTATGTTAATGGGGGAAGAACAACTCAGAAAAGGAGGGTGAGAATGGTTGCACAACTCAAAGAATGTAATCATTGTCACTGAATTGACATGTAGAAGCTGTTGAATTGGTGTGTGTTTTGCTGTGTATATTGTCAAGAACAGCAACAAAATAAATAATTTTGTTTAAAAAAAGAGGGAATCTCACTATTAGAAGAACTCAAGAAAAGGTTTACACACAGAAAAAAGCATTCTTTGATGGTTACGAGGGTGGGGCGGGAGAAGGAAGGGAAATCACTAACTAGACAGTAGACAAGGGTCAACTTCGGTAAAGGGAAGGACAGTACACAATACAGGGAAGTCAGCATAACTGGACCAAAGCAAAAGCAAAGAAGTTTCCTAGATACATGCAAACACTTTGAGGACAGAGTAGCTGGGGTTGAGGCCTGGGGACCGTGGGTATATCTAGGTCAACTGGCATAACATAGTTTATAAAGAAAATGTTCTATATCCCACTTTGGTGATAGCGTCTGGGGTCTTAAAAGCTTTCAAGAGACCATCTAAGATACATCTGTTGGTCCCATCCCACTCAGAGCAAAGGAGAATGAAGAAAACAAAAGACACAATGAAAATACTAACCCAAAGGACTGAAGGACCAAATGAACCAGAGACTCCATCAGCTTGAGACCAGAAGAACTAGATGGTGCCCAGCTACCACCAGTGACTTCCCTGACAGGGAACACAACAGAGAGTCCCAGACAGAGCAGGAGAAAACTGTAGAACAGAATTCAAATACACATAAAAAGATCAGGCTTAATGATCTGACAGAGACTGGAGGAATCCCCAAAATTATGGCCCCTGGACGCTCTGTTAACCCAGAACTGAAACCATTCCTGAAGCCCACTTTACGATTAGACAGGCTTGTAAAACAAAAAATAATACACGTGAGGAATGTTCTTCTTAGTTCAATCATATATAAGAGACCAAACGGGCAGCTCCTGTCCAAAAGCAGGATGAGAAGGCAAGAAAGGACAGGAAATGGATGAATGGACACAGGGAACCGGGGGCAGGGGGGAGTGTGCTGTCACATTGTGGGGATTGCAACCAATATCACAAAACAATATGTGTATAAATTTTTGAATGAGAAATTAACTTGAGCTGTAAACTTTCACCTAAAGCACAATAAAAAAGACACTCATTAGTTCAACCTATTCGTGTGTGTTTGTGTGTGTGTGTGTGTGTGTGTGTGTGTGTGAATGACTGTGTCATAGACGTCACCCCCCGTGCACAGCTGTTTCCCTGAGCAGGGACCACAAAAGGCAGGTGACTATGTTGACCTGGCAGTCAAGTTGATATACGCAGTCGTCCTCACCGAAACCTTCTCCAGTTCCATTCTTCTACTGCAAATAAGCGCTCCAGTCTCTGAATTCCCCTAGCTCTTATATTTACCATTTCATTACACGTGTCTCTTTTCCCTTGTATTATAATTACTTACTCATGTGTCAAAAGATTTCAAAGGGCAGCTCGAGAAGACAAAGTTATTGTAATGAAATATGCAAAGACCTGGAGTTAGAAAACCAGAAGGTAAGAGCACACCTGGCATTTCTCAAACTGAAAGAACTAACAAAAAAATTCAAGCCTCGAGTTGCTATAGTGAAGGATTCTATGGGCAAAATACTGAATGATGCAGGAAACGTCAAAATAAGATGGAAGGAATACGTAGTCACTGTACCAAAAAGAATTGGTCGAGGTTTACCCATTTCAGAAGGTAGCACATGATCAAGAACTGGTGGTACAGAAGGAAGAAGTCCAAGCTGTGCTGAAGGCATTGGTGAAAAACAAGGCTCCAGGAATTGAATGAATGCCAATTGAGATGTTTCACCAAATGGAAGCAATGCTGGAAGCGCTCACTTGTCTATGCCAAGAAATTTGGAAGACAGCTACCTGGCCAACCAACTGGAAGAGACCCATATTTGTGCCCATTCCTAAGAAAAGTGATCCAACAGAATGCGGAAATTATCGAACAATATCACCGATGTCACACGCAAGTAAAATTTTGCTGAAGATAATTCAAAAGTGGTTGCAGCAGTACATCGGCAAGAACTGCCAGAAATTCAAGGCAGGTTCCAAAGAGGAAAAGGAACAAAGGATATCATTGCTGATGTCAGATGGATCTTGGCTGAAAGCAGAGAATACCAGAAAAATGTTTACCTGTGTTTTATTGACTATGCAAAGGCATTTGACTGTGCGGATCGTAACAAATTATGGATAACTTTGCGAATGATGGGAGTAGCAGAACACTTAATTGTGCTCGCGCAGAACCTGTACATAGACCACAAGGCAGTCGTTCGAACAGAAAAAGGGAATACTCAGTGGTTTAAAATCTACAAAGGTGTGCAACAGGATTGTATCCTTTGACCATAATTATTCAATCTGTATGCTGAGCAAATAATCCGAGAAGCTGGACTATATGAAGAAGAAAGTGGCATCAGGATTGAATGAAGACTCATTAACAACCTGCAATATGCAGATGACACAACCTTGCTTGCTGAAGGCGAAGAGAACCTGAAGCACTTACTGATGAATATCAAATATCACAGCCTTCTGTGTGGATTACACCTCAATGTAAAGAAAACAAAAACCCTCACAACTGGACCAATAAGCAACATCATGATGAACAGAGAAAATACTGAAGTTGTCAAGGATTTCCTTTTACTTGGATCCACAATCCATACCCATGGAAGCAGCAGTCAGGAAGTCAAATGACATACTGTATTGGGCAAATCTACTTCAAAAGACCTCTTTAAGGGTTAAAAAGCAAAGATGTCATTTTGACGACTAAGGTGTACCTGACCCAATCCATGGTATTTTCAATCACCTCGTATGCATGCGAAAACTGGGCAATGAATAAGGAATACTGAAGAAGAATTGATGCATTTGAATTATGATGTTGGTCCATGCACAAAAACTAACTCAAAATGGATCGAAGACCTAAATATAAAATCTAAAACGATAAAGATCATGGAAGAAAAAACAGGGACAACGCTAAGAGTCCTACTACATGGCATAAACAGAATACAAAACATTACTAACAATGCACAAACACCAGAAGAGAAACTAGATAACTGGGAGCTCCTAAAAATCTAACACTTATGCTTATCAACAGACTTCACCAAAAAAGTAAAAAGACAACCTACAGACTGGGAAAAAAAATTTGGCTACAACAAATCTGATCAGCATCTCATCTCTAAAATCTACAAGATACTGCAAAACCTCAACAACAAAAAGACAAATAACCCAGTTAAAAAATGGGCAAAGGATATGAACAAACACTTCACCAAAGAAGACATTCAGGTGGCTAACAGGTACATGAGAAAATGCTCACAATCATTAGCCACTAGAGAAATGCAAATCAAAACTACACTGCGATACCATCTCACCCCAACAAGGCTAGCATTAATCCAAAAAACACAAAATAATACATGTTGGAGAGGTTGTGGAAAGACTGGAACACTTATACACTGCTGGTGGGAGTGTGAAATGGTACAACCACTTTGGAAATCGATTTGGCGCTTTCTTAAAAAGCTAGAAATAGAAGTACCAGACCATCCTAGATATATCCTAGAGAAGTAAGAGCCGTCACACGAATAGATGTATGCACACCCATGTTCATTTTAGCACTGTTCATGATAGCAAAAAGATGGAAACAACCTAGGTGCCCATCAGTGGATGAATGGATAAACAAATTATGGTATATTCACACAATGGAATACTACACAACAATAAAGAACAAAGGTGAATCTGTGAAATATCTCATAACATGAATGAATCTGAATTAGGTGTTGGTGAAGAATATGGAATATACCAAGGACTGCCAGAAGGACGAACAAACCTGTCTTGGAAGAAGTACAACCAGAATGCTCCTTAGAAGCGAGGATGGCAAGACTTCGTCTCATGTACTTTGGACATGTTATCAGGAGAGACCAATCCCTGGAGGACATCCTGTTTGGTAAAGCAGAGGGTCAGCATAAAAGAGGAAGACGCTCCACGAGATGGATTGACAGACACAGTGGCTGCAACAGTCTGCTCAAACATAGCAGAGCCTGGCAGTGTTTCGTTCTGTTGTACATAGGGTTGCTATGAGTCGAACTGACTCAATGACACCTAACAACAACTCGTACATCTCATCACCTTTCCTGACTGTAAGCTCCTGAAGAGCAGGCTCCATATCTAATCACTTCCTAGCATTGTGCTGTACACTTAGTATGAGTATAATATTTGTTGAACAAGTGTATTGATTAATGACTGTCTTAAGTTTCTTCATATCCCCCACAGGTCCTAGAATAGTGCTGGACTTTAAATAACAGAGTCTCAGAATGGATGAATTGTTCAATGATCAAGACAATGAATTAGCAAATCAGTGAGCTAATGAGCCATTGAATAACGGCTTGAAAGTGAGAGTTTACATTCACAGGAGGGTCAAGATCTGCAGGATCAATATAAAAAGTGGGAAGTCTATGAAACTGGGTATTTCTATTCTAGTCTTTTGCTTTGTTTTTACTTCTATAACTAGACCAGTAAAAAAAAAAAAAAAATAGTTGCTGTCAAGTTGACGTCAACTCATGGCGACCCCATGTTTGTTGGAGTAGAACTGTGCTCCATAGGGTTTTCAATGGCTGATTTTTTGGAAGTAGATCACCAGGCCTTTCTTCCGAGGTGCCCTGGGTAGACTTGAACCGCCAGCCTTTTGGTTAGCAGCCAAGCGCTTAGCTATTTGTGCCACCGAGAGTCTCCTATAACTGGATCTGGGAGGTATAATTGCTCCTTGGAAAACATCCATGTAAACCTTTCCTGTCCTTTGATTCTTGTCTTGCAGGTGTGAGCAGCATCTCCTCACCAAGGTGGTATTTGGTCCATACCTGAATCTGGGTGAGGATGTAAAACCCCCCACTCTGCATATGAGTGGTTCAGGCCAGCAGGGACACCTGGCTCCAGCCACCATCACAGACATGTCTGCCGTGGAGTAGTGTGGACGCTTTCGCTCAGCTTCTCAGGGTTTCAGTTCCTTTTGGTTTGTTTTGTTTACCTTTTTTTTATGGTTTTGTGGCTGGACATTCACGACCAAGGCAGGCACCATGGGGGATCAGCAACTGTACAAGACCAACCACGTGGCCCACAGCAGTGAGAACCTCTTCTACCAACAGCCCCCACTGGGCATCCACAGCAGTCTGAACCACAACTATGGGAATACAGTCACAGGGGGTGGGATGGATGCCCCTCAGGCTTCCCCTATCTCCCCCCACTTCCCTCAAGATACTCGAGATGGCCTGGGCTTATCTGTTGGTTCCAAAAACCTTGGCCAAGTGGATACCTCGAGGCAGGGAGGCTGGGGAAGCCATTCTGGGCCTGGAAACCATGTCCAGCTACGTGGCAACCTGGCCAACTCCAATATGATGTGGGGGGCACCAGCCCAGGCTGAGCCCACCGATGGCTACCAATATAGCTACTCCCAGGCCAGTGAGATCCGGACCCAGAAGCTCACCAGCGGTGTCCTGCACAAGCTGGACTCTTTCACCCAGGTGTTTGCCAACCAAAACCTACGCATTCAGGTCAACAATATGGCCCAGGTGCTGCACGCCCAGTCGGCAGTGATGGATGGGACCCCTGACAGTGCCCTCCGCCAGCTGCTATCTCAGAAGCCCGTGGAGCCCCCAGCACCGGCTATTCCTCCCCGCTACCAGCAGGTGCCCCAGCAGCCTCACCCTGGTTTCACTGGTGGGCTGTCCAAACCAGCTCTTCAGGTCGGGCAGCACCCTACCCAAGGGCACCTGTATTATGACTACCAGCAGCCACTGGCTCAGATGCAGGGAGTGCAGGGGGGACAGCCACTGCAGACCCCTCAGATGCTGTCACAGCACATGCAGCAGATGCAGCAGCACCAGTATTACCCACAGCAGCAGCAGCAAGCTGGACAACAGCGTATCTCCATGCAAGAAATACAACAGCAGCAGCAGCAACAGATTCACCCATCGCAGCCTCAGCAGCAGCTGCAGCTGCAGCTGCAGCAGCGGCAGGGTGCAGTGCAGATACCTCAGTATTATCAGTCCCAACCCATGATGCAGCACTTGCAAGAGCAGCAGCAGCAGCAACAGATGCACCTGCAGCCCCCTTCTTATCACAGGGACCCCCATCAGTACACCCCAGAGCAGGCCCATGCTGTCCAGCTGATTCAGCTGGGCTCCATGCCCCAGTACTACTACCAGGAGCCCCAGCAGCCCTACGGCCACCCCGTCTACCAGCAGAGCCACCTGCCTCAGCACCAGCAGCGTGAGGACAGTCAGTTGAAGACTTATCCCAGTGACAGGCAGGCCCAGGCACTGCTGAGCTCCCACGGGGACCTGGGACCTGCCGATACAGGAATGGGAGACCCAGCAACCTCGGACGTGAACCGGGTCAGCGGTGCCGTCCCCCATCGGCCACTCCTGTCACCCAGTGGGATCCACCTCAACAGCATGGGGCCTCAGCACCAGCAGCTATCCCCCAGTGCCATGTGGCCCCAGGTATTCTCACAGTGAGAGTTTTTCTTGGTATCTCAGTGTGCTACAGGGCCACTGGAGGCTGAGTGTATGCAGTGTTGAATCCTCTCTCCAGCCCCTTCAACCCTTTGGTTCTTTATTCATTCCATAAACATTAACCTACATGTGCCAGGTGCTGTCTATGTTAGGCACTTGGAATACAAAACCAATTATGACTCAGTCCTTTGCCCACGGAGCTTATAATCTCACTAAGGAGATGGCCCAAATACCGTATCTTCTCCTGAATGATTCATGTAATGATCAAGGCCTTGAGTCAAGTGCTTAGGGACACAGAGCGAGGGTGTCTCTGCCCCTGGGATCTGGATCTTCAGGGTATTCCCTATGAAAATGTTCCCTCTTTGGGAGGGAGATTACATTGTGACAGCATTTCTCTAATTGTACTGCTCAGGACAGCAGTTCTATGGAAGGTTAAAGAATATTGCTGGGGAAAAATGAATTCTGTGGATAAATAAATTCCGGGTTACCTAAAATGAGCTAGATTGCTATGCTGCAGGGTTTCTTCAGGCCATTAACATGCTAATGTGCATTGTAAAAAAAGTCTCCAAAAGGTGATATCACATATAGTTGCAGAGATGAAAACTTTAGCTGCCCACAAGATCCAGGCAGGGCAAGTGAACAGCAAAATTGCCTGGTGTGAGGCAATCGGGAGGGGTGGCAGCTGCGGTGTAGTAGAGAGCAGACACTTCAGCCAGTGGCATTCTCATTCAGGATTTTTAAAAACAATCTAGCCTAACAAAGCATGTCTGCAGGCCAGATTCAGCCTGTGGGCCACAGTCACTAACTCGTGATTGCTTCCCAAATGTATGTAACCACAAAACAGCCTTCCATGGGCTGGCACTGTTCATGGTTTAGTGTGTTCCTAGTGCTGCACTCATGTGACACCAGGGTGTAGGGAGGAGGGGACCCTGAGTAGGACCTGGATAGGTCTCTGACGGAGGTGAAAGGCCAGAGATGTACTTCCCCTTGACCCTGCTTTGTCTGGGGCTCAGGCCTGATAGTAACTGAGAGCCCTTGTGAGCTTAACAGAAAGAGGACTAAGACTGGAAAGGAATTCCAGCAGGAGATCTCCTGGCTTGGTGCTGTGTCATCCAGCTCTCCTTTCTGTGTCCCTTGTGGGAATGGAACCTGTATGCACAGGTGGACTGAGAGAACGGGAAGGAATGAGGAAGGTATTGCATCCTGGTGGGCTTGAGGCTAACAGCAGCTCCAGGAGTGGGGCCCTTGAGTCTGGCAGCAAGTAAGGGGAAGAGGTCCCAGGGTGTGGAAGAGTAAAGGAGTGAGTGGTCATGAGTAGGGTTGGTGCAAGGTGGGAAGAGTCCTGGGGGTACAGACCCTGGTGTTCCCCCAACTCAAGGATACTTCCTTTCAGAAATGTGTTTTTGTTTTTGTTTTTGTTTTCCTTCTTCTTTTTCTCGGTGTCCTGCTTGGCTCAAAATTAGATGCACCTACCTGATGGCAGAACCCAGCCAGGGTCCCCTGAGTCAAGGTAGGATGGATCAGTGGAGGCTGGCTGGCATTTTAGGAGACTGGGAGGTCTTTCTGGGTTGTCTCTCACAATTCACTTCTAAGTTCAAGGTCAATTCCTCAAAGAAGGTCATAGGAATAATAATAGCAGCTATTGTGTTAGAGCTTTTACTATGTATTAGGCACTATATATTATGTGTAATACGGTAACCCAGTGACTGTGAGTATGGTTACCATGTGCCTGGAACATAGTAAGCACTCAGTAATTGTCAACTATTAGTACTGTTATCTTACAGATAAGAAAACTGAGGCTCAGAGAGCTTAAGGTTACACATCAAGTAAGTAGCAATGCTGGGATTGACTCCAAAGTCCGGGTCCTGTCCACTATCCATTGATTCAGTCAGTGAGTATTTATTGAGTGCCCACTGTGTGCTAGGCTTTGCAGATGCAGCAGTGAATTGTACAGACTCGCCTCCTTCCATTAGGGGCATGTGAAATAATGAAAGATTTAGTCAGAACCTGACAAACAGCTAAAACAAACACCAGAAGACTTAGCCCAGGGTCTCTGAGGGAGGGCTTCCGGAGGAGGTGGCCCGAGCTGACCCTGAAAGGGTCAAAAGTGGGAACAGCCCAGCGCCTGCAGGTCTACAATGAAAGAGGATGATTTGTGCAACTCTTACATGAGTTTAGGGAAGTCCTTTCCCACTCAGAGCCTCAGTTTTTCACCTGTAAATTGAGTTTATTCCTCTGAAGGGTGTTGGAGTGGGACCATGGGCATGGGAGCATTGGACACGTGTTGGTTGTGGAGTATGAGGTCTTGCCGATACATTGCTCTTTCCCCTTCCTTAATCTGCATTCCTTTCCCTTTTGCCCTACCCTTGAGCAGTGGCCAAGCCAAAGGAGTATTTGGGGAGCAGTTTGATGCCAAGAACAAGCTAACGTGCTCCATCTGCCTGAAGGAGTTCAAGAGCCTGCCTGCCCTGAATGGCCACATGCGGTCCCACGGGGGAATGAGGGCCTCCCCCAGCCTCAAACAGGTTAGTGGGGTGCCACCCCCACCCTGGTCCATCCCAGGCTATGTGCTGCTTGCTTTGCTTTGCTGCCGTCCAACAGAAAGTGATGTGAGCCCCATGCAGGCACCTGGGGAGGTGCAGTCCTCCCCTGATGGGAATGCCTGTGCATTGACCCTGAGAGCCAGCCAGGTCCAACGCTTCCCACGTCCACTGGCTTTCTGAATAATGGTCCAACAGGGAGGTGCTAGAAATCCTTTGGGGATCCCAGCCTTCTCCCCTCCACCTCCTGGGAGAAGACAGCAAAGAAAAAACACGGAGATGGAATATTATTTTTAACCTCTGCTGCTTGAAGCACTCAAGGCCAGAGTCAGGTCTTCAAGATGAATGATCGGTGTTCAGGGAAAGCTAATGTGACCAGAACTTTCCATTCACCTGAGCACTCCTGTTGGACTCTAGCATCCAAAGAACCTTAAATCCCCTCTGGATTATCCCAGAAAGATGAAATAGGATACCACTTCCATGTAGATTTAGAGTTTAATTAAAATTCAAACAGTTTTCTCAGATTTCTTTGAATATTGTTGATCTTAATTTAAATCTATGAGATTAACTCTGTTAACCAAAATTTTAATTACCAAGATCACTCCATTTCTTGACCATACCAGATAAGAGAGCTTTGTCTTTACTTTTTAAAATCAGCATGCTTTGCATTTTCAAAGTGGTTTCCTAACCTGAGTAAAACATAGGGTGGAATGCCAACCTCCATTTGACGAATGAGTAAACGAGGCCCCTAGAATTTAAAGGTTCTACACATGGAGTCCCTAGGTTAAAGCACCCAACTGCTGACCAAAGGGTTAGAGGTTCACGTCCATCCAGAGGCACCTGTGAAGAAAGGCCTGGTGATCTACTTCTGAAAATTCAGCCATTGAAAATCCTGTGGAGCACGGTTCTACCCTGACACACATGGAGTTGCAATGAGCTGTAGTCGCCTCAATGGCAGCTGTTTCTTTTGTTTACACAAGATCATACGTTTTGTGGGACCTGATTACAAGTCCATGTCCTTTTCTTTAAAACCAAAAACAACCAAAATGCCTTTTTAATATACAAGTAGTACGTGGTCCACGTTTTTGAAATATAGGAAGTAGACTGCATGTCCTTGTCCACCACCATCTGGCATCACTTGGGCCAAAGGACTCAGGGTTGCAGAAAGGAAGCCACCCTGCAGAGGTTCTCTATCACCCGTGCCTGTTGTCCTGGAACCTTTCAGGAACAGCAAAGTTCATCCCTCTTGTGAGAGCTGCTCTGCAGCCCAGGATCAAAGCCTTTATTGTCTGTGTAGGAGGAAGGAGAGAAGGCCCCACCGCCTCAGCCTCAGCCTCAGCCTCAGCCCCAGCCGCCACTGCCGCCTCCGCCTCCGCCGCCACCGCAGCTCCCTCCCGAGGCAGATAGCCTCACGCCTATGGTCATGCCCGTGTCTGTCCCTGTCAAGCTTCTCCTGCCCAAGCCCAGCTCACAGGGGTTCGCCAACAGCGTCGTTGCTGCCCCCTCGGCCAGAGACAAGCCAGCCAGCTCGGTGTCGGACGACGAGATGCCCGTGCTCGTGAGGATGACCCTCTCTCCCCCACGCTCACCCCAAGGGGCTGCCCCCTGCACGCCTGCTGTGAGTTGCTGCTCTGCCCCGCCTGCCTGGGGTGGGGAGATCCCTTTGCTTTCTTGGAGATGGGGTCAGCTCTTCCAGAGCCACTGGCCTGAGCTGGGACATGACTTGGCCTCTTGGGGGCTGAGCCCCCCATGGAGTCCCAGCCTCGTCCATGCTGCCCACCAAACATCTGTTACTCTACCCGGCTAACTATCTGGGTTAAATTCTGAGACCAGACAGTATTCCTGGGTTCAAATAGATGATAATCCAGCTGGTACTGACTGAAACAATCATACCAGTTATTAAAATATTGAAATACTTCTGTCCTAGATCATCAATAGCTGTTGCCCAGGGCCTAGCCCCTTGCCCAGGATATCCAGACCTCCCTAAATCTAGCAACCAAAGAGGTAGCCCCTGGCACAGTAGGGCCTCCAAGCAATATCCCTGCATCCATTCTGATGCTCAGCCTTATCAGATACATGATATTTTGACTATCAAACCTAGTTAAATACACTTCGAGGATCTAATTCATTAAGGGTCCCAAAGTAGTTCCACTGAGTGACATTCACCCCTAATCTCAGGAAAGCAAAGAGATTTGTTTTCTCTGTTAAGTTCTCCTCTTTCTCAAATTCCAAGTGCTTCAGCCAAGCAGCTTAGCTCAGCTCTGGAGCAGAGAGGGATGTCTGTCTCTATCTCTCTCTGACTCTACTTCTCTCTCTGGACAGGGGGCTGCATCTCTGGCCTCTGGGAGTTTGTGTCCCACGTGGTTGGCTACATCAGACCTTTCCCCTCCCCCACAAAGCAGTGTTCTGGGCCATACTTGTCCTTAGAGAGTAGATGGCTGCCGGGATTCCAGGAGGCACAGGGGTTGGGTTGGGCCAGAGAAGGGGCAAGGCAGATAACTCAGAGAACAAAAAAGTCAGAGAGAGCCTTTCTGGTTCTCTCTGTAACATTAAGGCCTCAGAAGAGAAGAGACTGATGGAGAACCTCTGGGGGTGCAGTCTCATAAGCTGGTGGGACTTGAGGTGCCAGCAACAGGCAGAGAGAGGAAGTGACATTCCCAAGCTTCCCTCTTTGCTCAGGGAATGATTTGGTAAGAGAGACAGTGTTCCTAGGAGAACTCTCATTCCGAAGCTAGACACACAGTAAGGTTCCCAGTCACACAGAGGTTCAGGCGCAGGTAGCGCACATACCTCCCCTCATTCAGGACAGTGAGAGAAAGACAAGGGCAGACGAGAAACAGTGATGAGCTGGGTCAGCCAGTGGGAATACACCTGAGTGGCTAAAATAATTAGCGGGTGGAGAACGGCAAGGAAATTTGGTATGAGTTGGCTCAGGAGACCATCATTAGGGGAGTTCTGATCGAGGATTTGAAGACAGAGACAAACTTGTCTTTGTGGAAACAGTGGGAGACACATTGTATGTGGGAAGATGGGCGGAAGTGAAAGCATGTGAGTGGGATTAAGCACATGTGAGCGAGGTCCTGTCATTTGATGTAAAGAAACTAAACAGCCCAGAGACGAGCCCTGAGTTCTAATCCCGCTCTGCTCCCAGCCAGCTGAAAAGGAGGCAGCTGAGACTCTCTGAGCCAGGGTTTCTTCCCCTGACCTTGAGGGGGTTGGGCTCATCAGGATTGCTCACCCCTCTTTATGCTTCAGAATCACCTGGGTTGCTTTTAAAAGCCCTCAGAGTTTGGCTCCACCCCTAGAGATTCCGAATAGCTTGGTGGGTTGAAACATTGTAAGTACTTCCTCTCAGGTAACATTCTGGGTTTCTACTCTGGCCCAAGTGGCTCAGAGCCTTGCTTGGAGGTTCAGAAAATGGGGGCTTGGAGGAGCTGAAGTAACAGGACAGGAGGCTGGAGGAGAAGGAGCCCAAAAGGGACTTTTAGCCCTGTGATCAGAGGTCTGGATTCCAGTGCAAGGCTGAGGTCACACGAGGTCTGTATGTGCTTGAATTACCTCATCAGTGACTCAGGAATTGTTCCTTGGTCAGGGGGAAGGAGGTAGAGGGGGAACCTGACCTGCACCCAGGCAGATTCCCCTCATTCGCCTCAGCCCCTTCTCTTCTCCTCAGCCTCAGGTGGTGAGGAGCCCTGTGGTGGGGAGTGGAGGCAGGTTGGAGCACTCTGACCTAAGGAGAACCCCCTGTGGGTGAGGTAGGGGTTACAGACCTCCACACTGGAGCTAGGAGCCTGGGGGGCCTCTACCCCCTCCTCTTTCCCTACCTCTCTGCTTCCCTGGGATTGAGAAGGTGCTGTAGAAGACAGTGAAGTTCAGGGAGACACAGGAGTGGGGCAGATCCTCAAATGTTGAAGGCAGAAGGTGCTCCAGAAGGACAGGATCCCAGAGCTGAGGGGCCAACTGGGGCAGGTCACATGGCCTAGAGGCAGCTGGTCACATGACCATGGCCAACCCTTCCCATCACCCCCTGCTGCCTCCTACTCAAGCGCCACCCTGGGTTCAGGAATTGCCAGGAACTGCAGCTGTGACTAGCCTGCAGAGCCTGAGAGGGTGCCACAGACTGTCCAGAACCTCTCTTCAGGTATCTTCGCTGCCTCCCTATCACACCACTGCTTCTCCCAACCACGCCCAGCTCTGGAGTTTTCTGTGCTGATGCTGGCACTCAACCAAGTCTGTTTTTGTTCAGCTTCGGCATGCCCTGCTCTATTTACGTGCATATGTTTACTTATTAATATATATGTATCCGTGTGGCAGATCTTCCTTCCAGTCTGTGCTTGGTTCCGGCTGCCAAAAAACAAACTAACATTGCTGACACGAGCTAACCTAGGAGAAGAGCTTGCTACAAATGAGCCACCAGTGTTGGGAGCAATTGTGAGGGGTTGTGAGGGGGGAGTTTAACCGGATTAACTTTTAGGAGAGCCCATTAGACAGGCCATAAACATCACAGATGGCTCTTCCCTAGCCTGAAAGTTGCCTAGAAGGAGAACCCCATATGGGTCACTGGCCCTGGGAGCCTTGCCTGGGCCAGAACTCCCTTCTCCTCCCCAGCACCCTCTGCCCCAGCTTCCCTGAGTAGATTATTCTGTCCCCTTCTCAGAACATGTGTTGTCTGTCCCTGGAGAGCGCTGGGGAGTTAAAGAGCCCACTCAGCTGGATTCCACCCAACAGATGGGAATGTAGTGATAAGCAATAAAGAATTTGAATTTATTACTTCTTGCCCACCCACACTATTCCTACCACCCCCATCTTTCTCCAGACATTAGAATTTCCTCCAAACCCAAAGTTTTCTCTATAGTCAAGCCACCAGAACTCTCTTGGCCTGAAATTGGTGTGGCTGATTTTTAAGGCAGAGGATGCTGCATGGGGGTGGGAGCGAACAAGGGGAATAGGGTCCCCATTAGAACAGTAGACATTTTCCTTCCCTGAAGTCTGTGGAAATGGCCTGTGGCGGGGTCTAAGTATTTGAATCAGACCATTCTTCCCATTTTAGGAAATTCCCAAGAAACATCAGCCAGGCGTGGCCAAAGCTGAGGAACCCCTCAAGCCTGTGCAGGAGAAGAAAAAGTTCCGGCACCGGCCGGAACCGCTCTTCATCCCGCCACCACCCTCCTACAACCTGAACCCCGCCTCTTCCTATTCGGGCGCAACCCTGTACCAGAGCCAGCTGCGCTCCCCGCGCGTCCTCGGGGACCACCTCCTCCTGGACCCCACCCACGAGCTGCCCCCCTACACACCCCCGCCCATGCTGAGCCCAGTCCGCCAGGGCTCGGGGCTCTTCAGCAATGTCCTCATCTCCGGCCATGGCCCTGGTGCCCACCCGCAGCTGCCCCTCACGCCCCTGACGCCCACGCCGCGCGTGCTGCTCTGCCGCTCCAGTGAGTCAACCCATCAACCTCTACATGGACTTAGGGATTTTGGCGCTGCCTGTGCTGAGTACTACCCTGGGAGGTCTCGCTTTCTTAAGTTGTCTCACTGGTCCACAAACGTTTATGGCGTAACTGCTGTATGTACCAGGCACTGTACTAGGTGCCAGAAATACTTAGAATGAGATATAGTTCTAATGCTCAAGGGGCTTATAGTCTGGCTGGGAACACAAACTCATAAAGTGATAATTATAGTCTCTTTGGGATATGGAAACAGTTGAAGTTTGCACACACTGTGTTTCTAAGACTCTTATGGATGATCATGTAAGATGTCCAGAAATACTAAGTACAATACACATAGCACACCCAGGATTAGGTGTTATATGCAAGATCAGGCCTCAACATTTTAGCATGACGTATAAAGATCAAGTATGGAGAGACCTGTAGCCAGGATATCTTTCTGACGCAAGAATAGTTTCATAGAAACGATACAGTTCATAAAACAGTTTCCGAGGCCAACTCTTCAGACAGGGATTAGACTGGACTGTGGGACGTGAAGTGATACTTGTGAAGAATGTGCCTCTTAGATAAGTAGATATAAGAGACCAAAGGGGCGGCTTCTGTCCAGAGGTGAGAGGGGAAGGCATAGAGAGTTAGGAGCTGGTTGAATGTTCATGGGGAATCGGGCAGAGGGGAGGAGTGTGCTGTCGCGGAATGGGGTAAGTGGTTGGGGTCTCATAACAATATATGTTAAAAAAAAAAATTCTGTATGGGAGACTAACTCAAAATGTAAACTTCATTTAATTAACAATAAAAATTAAAAAAAGAAACAATACAGTTCAGCAGACTAGAGTGGGGCAGCTGGCTTCTCTTTACCCTGCGTGAGAGACGGGGTAACCCTATACCATTTAGTACCACATTCCATCCAGCTCCCTGGAGACTGTTGGGGGTAACTCTGGCATGGGTTGGGTAGGAGAAGGGCCTGCTTGTGACTGATTAAGTAACTGCTCATTTGCTTTAGTTTCTTCATCAGGAGTGATTGATCTTTGTGTCTGCCTTCCGTGTTGACCAGTGACCTTTGGTTTATGTTTCAGATAGCATTGATGGCAGCAGTGTGACAGTCACCCCAGGCCCTGGGGAGCAGACCGTGGATGTTGAACCGTAAGGAAAAGCCAATTATTCTATAGAACAAAAGCCTCAACTGAGGAAAGGGATCAGGAACTTAGAGAAGTACAGTTCCAGTTAGTACTTTAGGGGTCAGAGTGGCCACTTGAGAGAGAAGTTGTAGAAATCATAACCAGGAACCAGTTGCTGTCGAGACAGTTCTGACTCATGGCAGCTGTGTGTGTGTCAGAGCAGAACTGTGCTCCATAGGGTCACAGTATTTCTTGAGTATTGTTGTTTCAGGGTATTTGCCAAACACTAAATTCATAGTAGAAGCACGAATCTCTGTATTTAGAGAACCAAGGTCCCCATCTCTAACTCCATGGACCAGTATAGCTGTAGCCGCTGGCTCTCTGGGGGTGCCCAGCTCTCTAACAGGCTCCTTCCAAATGCTCTTGCTGTCCCCAACCCCTCCCTAAGATTCTTGTCAGTCTTCCAGATGGGCTTGAGTAGGCAGTGGGGAAGATCATGGAAGGGGGAAATGTTATTTTCATGAACAGGCCATGTGGTAGAGTGGTGAATAGATTGGGTCAGGAATCAGAAAACCTGAGTTTAGTCCCAGCTCCAACACCATTTTGTTATTTGATCTTGATTACATCAGGCTTTCTAGGTTGGAGTTGACTCTATTGACTGGGAATAATTATAGCTGTTGTGCTTACATCACAGGTCTTTGTGAGGTTCAGATGGGATAATGTATGTGAAAGTCGTCTGAAAGGGATAAAAAATTAAGTAAACACTTGGTATTTGTCCCATTTTTCCTGGTTAAATGGTACCTCAATAATACTTTTGGCAGCTGCCCCTTGGAATTAGCCACCTGTCTCTCCCAGTTACAGGGAAGCCCCAAGCCAACAGTCCCCTTTCTCCCCTCAGCATCTCTCCCCAGTCTTGAAGCTGTTTCTTATCCCATTGAAAAGGTCATGCCTGGAATCTTAGGGTCACGCTATGAGGAAATGCCCTTGCATTCTTACTGCAGAAGGGACCAGTTCATCCTTTCTCAAGTTCCTGGCAGCTGCCCTTGGCCTAGGCCATCAAATTGAAGACACACTTTGTTTTTCTTCTTGTCATTAAAGACGCATCAATATCGGCTTAAGATTCCAAGCAGAGATCCCAGAACTCCAGGACGCCTCTGCCCTGGCCAAGGACACACACAAGGCCACACTGGTATGGAAGCCCTGGCCAGAGCTGGAAAACCACGACCTCCAGCAAAGAGGTATTAGCCGTGGGAGGAGCCGGGTGGGAGAGGCTTCTTTCTGTCACTGGAATCTCTGGCTCCAGGATCCGTGTGTCCCACAGAAACTTGTTTTTCCTTGATACTGAGCTCTCTCTGATGCAGTGGCTTCTCCTTGTCCCCAACAGTGGAGAATCTCCTGAATTTATGCTGTTCTAGCGCATTGCCAGGTGGAGGGACCAATTCTGAATTCGCTTTGCACTCTCTCTTCGAGGCCAAAGGTGACGTGATGGTAAGGAATCATGAGAAGCAGACTCAGGGTTCATACTCACAGCGTTAGAATTCCAAAAAGTATTTTCCCAAGTTTCTATATTGTTCCACATACCATACAACCAACTCAGAAGGTAATAGTCACCTTGCTTCCATGTCATCTATCCTTATCTCAGTGAATACTTCAGAATTAAAGCACTTGTAGCAACATCTCCAGTTGGACTTCTGTTTACACATCTGTTCCCAAAGCTATAATTGTGGGTATATCTGTCTTGGGAAATTAGAATGATTTCTTTTGACAAGTCTTGTACTTCAGATCAGAGAACTGGGTCTCCAGTGATGGAGATAGAAGGCCCTTACTGAATCAAGACTAGGCTAAAATGGCCTACTATAACTTCACTGGTTGTTTTTCCCTTCAGTGGAAACCAGCCCAAGTTTGATGTTTGTAGAACTGTTTTCTTCCCTACCCAAAATGAAGTGTGTACTTTTCACCAGCTGGTTTCATCCTTCCGCCTCTGACGTGGTTCTTTGGGTGTCCCCAAACCGTGGTGCCTTGGTGCCTCTTCCCAGAACCAGAGCTGACGGTTTGCTTGCTCAGCCACCACTCCTGGCGGTGTCATGCCATCACTGATTGCAGTTTCCCCCTTAGTCATTATTCGGTTCTTCCTGGTACCAGGTCTAGCTTCTGGTCTTTTTGATTGTATGAAAATGTGAAAGTGAAACAAATTCCCTAATACTACCTTCTCATGAGATTATTAATACCTTACAAGCATTTTCTAGAATGTTAGAGAACTATTCTTAATGTTTTGAGATCTGTGTTGCAGAGCAGTACTTCTCAAATTTCACACGTGCAGCAGTCACTCAGGGATCTTGTTGAAATGCAGATTCTGACTCAGCAGGTCTGGGGTGGGGCCCAAGGTTCTGCATTTCTAACAAGCTCCCAGGGGATGCCGGTACTGCTGGTCTGTGGACCATAGCTGGAATAGCAAAATTCTAGACTTCACTCTGCCCCCAAACCATCCGCTGCTCAGCTCTGCCTGCGGCATATTTTAAAACATCGACAAGACTAAAGGAGGCAGAAAGGGTTTAAAAGGGTTTAGCTAGGCTCTCTGAAAGGACATGTGTGGTACAGTTATTACTAATACAGCTGTCTATGTTCAATGATAATGAAATTTGTGATTTTTCTGTAAAATCAGTTACAAAGCACCCACTTATTTCTTCGGACCCCTTCCCTAGAGATTCAGCCTCCAACCAGAGGAAGCCCCACCAGTCTCTGAGGCTGGGGGCCCTCACCAAGGAAGGAGTCAACCTCTGCTGCCACCTTTGTCTGACATTACCACCTTGCTGCAAGCATGGTGGCTGGTGGGAGGCTGGTGGGTGCTAAGGAAAGGAAATCCCAAGTAGGGAAGACTCTGCCTAATTTTCCATCCGGTGTCCCCTTGGGCCCTGCAGTACGAAGCCCCTTCCCTCTTTGGGTAGACGGTCTCCATAGAACCCACAACCCTATTACTGACTCTTGCTTTTTCTCTCCCCTGGGTCTGCAGGCTGCTCTGGAAATGCTGCTGCTGCGGAAGCCAGTCAGGTTAAAATTCCACCCTTTAGCAAATTACCACTATGCCGGTAGGTTGCCGGGAGCCCCGTGCCCCATTGCTTCCTGAGAGCGGGCCATTTGCATGTTTGGCTGTTGATTTTTAGTAATAGGTAGCATTGGTTCTGTCAGAATCTCCACTCATGATCTCCAGGCCTTCTGGAGCAGAGCTCGTGGCGGCAGTGTGTCTGTTGGATCAGCACTTGTCGGGTGTGTGTCTGTATGAGCTACTGCCGCTGTGGGTAGCCTGAGAGCTGAGCGAGAGTGCATGGTGCCTGTTGAGATAGAGAAAGAGCCACAGAGTGTGCAGGGCTGAGCCAACGACTCTCAGCAGCCCCCGGCTTTGGAATCAGCCACATGTGGGGGTTCAAGTCTTGACTGTACCCCTTGGCCAAGTCCCCTGGCCTTCTGCAGCCTTTGTTTTCTTGCCTGTAAAATGGGGCTCATATCCATCCCTTGCAGCATCTTGTGAAGATTAGAGTTAGTATATGTGGCCCAATGCTGGGCACCTCCTATTAGCTGTTGTTATTAATTAATTAGACAATTACTTATTAAGAGCATACTTAGTACAGGGAGCTGTGCTGGGCACTAAGGTGCAACAGTGATTATGACAGAGTCCTACTTGATGCAGTGTGGAGTCTGAGATGGAGACAGTTACGAAACAGTGGGTTGTACTAATGGCAGGAGAAAGACCTTACACGTATAAGACTGGAATGAGTGAGAACCACACAGAGAGAAGGAAACAGGTTGGAGAGCCTAAGCAGTGACAAATAAAGCTGAGGTCAACACTTTTATTTCCATTAAATCCAGTAAATCCCTCTATGCTGAGGGTCCCCATGAACCTGCCTTGACTCTCTATTTCAGAGGGGCCTGAATCCTCCAGTGCCTCTGATTTTTAGTCATTTGAGGGTCTCTGATGCCTGGGCAGGAGCCCTGGTCTACAGTGGTTAGGAGCTTGGCTGCTAACTGAAAGGTCAGTGGTTCCAACCCACCAGCTGCTCTGCAGGAGAAAGATGTGGTATGGCAGTCTGCTTCTGTAAAGATTACAGCCTTGGAAAGCCTCTGGGGCGGTTCTACTCTGGTCTGTAAGATCACTCACTATGAGTTGGAATTGACTCGATGGCAATGTTTCTTTTTGTCTTTTTTTTTTTTTTTTTTTTTTTTGGTGCCTAGAGCAGACCATGCATAGGGAGGTGCTACATAGTGGTGTTGGAGAGCTAGTACTACCTTCTCCCATCATTGGTCCAGGTGGCCAGATGGGGCCTAATGTGAAAGCTTCTCTGCAAATGCCAGAGTGCTCTCAGTGGGCTCCCTCCCCCACTGCCCTTTGCCTTGCTCCGTGTGGGCCTCCTCTCAGGAGCCGCCTTCCTGCCTGTTAATGCCTGTCTCATGAGGAGGAAAGGCCTCTGAAGCCACTCATCCAAGCACAGCAAGCCCAGGGTATCTGCCTGTGGAGCACCCTCAGCACACACAACGATTGGAATTAGACAGGCCCAAAACAGACACATGGAATAAGATCCAAACCAAAAACCCTTTGCTGCCGAGTCGATTCAGACTAAGATAGCCACCATTTAACCAATTAACATTGTCTCGATCATTTCCTCTTTGGTGTCTGTCCCTAATGTGGGTAGAAAGATGTGGGAGTTTTCTATCATCTGCCGTGGAAACAATTCAACCCTCTCTGAATTCGCAGCATCATCAGCTGCCCGTTAAACCCTGACAGGCTGTCCACCCTCTTGGAGCCTGTCCCAATCTTCTTTCCGTAATGAGTAAGATAGTTGGTGGACCAGAAGGAGCTACCTAACCCTGTGCTCTGAGGTGCTGATGCCCTTGGTTCTCGGAGTGCTTGGGTTGGCCAGAGTCTCTGGGCTGCCTAGCTCCAGCTATGAACAACCTTGACTGGGACCTAAATCCCCTCCAGTTCTTCCTAGAATGCCAAACAAGCATTATTATTTTTTTATGTATGTCCTGACATGAAAAGGTTGGAAAGCTATGGATTAGAAGTCCCCTTCATCCCCCTAAACGAAACAAAATTAAGCAAAAACACCAAAATAATGCTAAGAACTTTGAAACTGGGGGGCTGTGAATTCTGCTAAGATTAACTGATTTGAGGGGGGCTAAGGATCCTTGGTGGCACAGTGGTTGCACTCTGCTGGTAACCGAAAGGTTGGCGGTTCAAACCCACTAACCACTCCATGGGAGAAAGATGTGGCAGTCTGCTTCCATAAAGATTTAGAGCTTTGGAAACCCTGTGGGGCTGTTCTACTCTGTCCTACAGGGTTGCTATGAGTCAGAGTTGACTCAACAGCAACCATCTTTTTGTGTGTGTTTGTTTTGGGGATGTCTAGTTAATCCCTCACCTATCCCCTGACCCTTCCCTCAGAGGCAGACCAGGAGGGCCTCTGTCGCTTTATGGAATCATTTTGACCCTTGGAGGCAAGAAAGGAGGAGGTGAGGGGTGGAGGGTTGATGTCCCACTAGCTGTGTGTCCCCTAGAAAGGGGTAGTTTTGTCAGCTAGCCCCTGCCTTTTCCATCAAGTGATCACAGACTGGGTCTCAGAAAATCCTCTGAAATTACAAGCAAAAAGGCCTTGTTTCCCTCCAGAGTGTCCTCTTTGAGGTCAGTGGCCTTGAAAGCCTCACCTGGCTGCATTCCCCTAACAGTGCCCTTCCAAGCCACGGAAGAAGGAGAAGGCAGCAGAGTTCACTCCCAGTGCGTATGTTCAGCTACCAGCTGCCACCTGCTTCCCACACCCCTGACCCCCCTTATTTGGTTCCCAGGTAGCAGCAAATCCTATCTCTTTTGCCTCATCCTGATTTGGCCTTTGTACCAAGCCCCTTTGGGTTGTTCTTCAGTAGGTCTGTCCGGCTCCATTCCAGCCTCATCAGGACAATATCTTCTGTATCTCTTCTGGTTTCCAGCTCTGTGGCTGTGGCCAGGGGCAGCCCACCCGACTCCTAGCCCTGGAATTGCACTCCAGGCTCCCAGGTATCTGGAGAAGGCAGTCAGGCCTCCCAGGCCTAAAGGGGAAGGCTACCAATTTGGGGAAAAGGGAAGAAAAGAGACAGAGATGCAGCCTTACGAAAATCACTTCCCCTGCTTTATTCATTCCCTTCCCTGCCTGACCCCCGCCCGACCAATTCACTAAGAAAAGGAAAAGATCACCAATACTGGGGCCCAGGAGAGACTTTCTAGGGGAGCAGAGCTAACCTGTGTGGACTGAGCAACTCGCCCCAATTTGAGGGCTGCTTGCCAAGACCACAAGAGCCGTCGACAAGATTCTCAGAGGAAGGTATAGCTGTAGAGGTTCCCAAAACCAAACCTGTTGCTACCCAGTTGGTTCTGACTCATGGTGACCCCATGTGTTACAAACCAGAACTGTGCTTCATAGGGTTTTCTTGCTGCGTCATTTACAGAAGCAGATTGCGAGGCCTTCCTTCTGCAGTGCCACTGGGTAGGTTCGAACCGCCAACCTTTCCATTCGTAGCCCGGTGTAAACCGCTTGTGCCACCCGGGGGCCTATAATAGCTCCCAGCACTCTAATTCCCACAAGATGCCTGGTTCGGCCTCTCTTCCTTCACCCATGCTTCTCCCCACTGAGTCTCGAAGCGCTGCCCACAGGTGTGGCGAGCAGTTGTTTGCAGAGGTTCGCCATCAGCAGTTGGATTGGGTGGAGAAAGGTTGAGTAGGGGGATGTCACGATGGGGAGGGCATCTGACTGTGATTAGAGGGTTGCAGCATCCTTGCTTTTTCCATTGAACTGGTCATTCCTGCAGGTAGATGCGGCGTGAACGGGGTGTCAGAAGTGGCCCTGGGCTTCTCAGCAAGGATTCCACAGACTGCTCGTGGTTCCCACCACAGTCCAAGCTCTGACTGGGTTCTGAAGCCTGAGCTCTGCAGTTGGGGAAACCTGAGAGATACACATTCAACTGGGGAGACTTGTCTCTGCCCTAAAGAGCCCTTGTGGTGCAGCAGTTAAGCGCTCAGCTGCTAACTGAATGGTTGGCAGTTCGAACCCACCCAGCTGCTCCATGGGAGAAAGACCTGGTGATTAGAGCTTAGAAAACCTAATGGGACAGTTCTACTCTGTCAGTCGGGGTCGCTGTGAGTCAGAATCGACTTGACAGCACACAACAATAGTCTCTGCCCTGGAAACTGCCCCAGTTTGATGAAGGAGACAGAATTACATACTCAAGAGCATACTTTGCAAGAAAAGCAGCTGTAACTTAATTTTCCAGGCATTTTTAGCCCTTGTCTCTAGCTAGATTGTGGCTCACTAAGGGGCAGGAACTGAACTCCGCCCCTTGCCTTGCCTGACACAAGGGTTAGTGGACAAGCTCGAGTTTTGGATTCAGATCCAGGCCTCCCTCTCTTTTTTGCCTCCAGAGGGAACTTTGGCAGCAGCCTGCTTCACTCTGCATGCCTGAAAAAATTATTCCACTTTCACCCACCATGGAAAACCCTACACAGAAATAAAGGTCTGATTTAAAAACAGCCCTCCTTTTCCTACAGTGAACCTGCCTTCTTTGTGTAACTGTAAAAATAGCAACATCAATAAAAGTTTTAAAATTCTTAAAAGGAAAACCAGAAGGCCCTCTTTAAAAAGATACCGTGGCCAAACTTTATGTCACCCCTCCCTGTCTGTTTTTAATTGCCTGGGTTCACTGTAGATGGCCCCAAAATTAGCCACAGTCCAGAGCCTGTTTCCCAGCAACCAAAGCTGAGAACATTTTTCCTCTTGATACTGTTCCAGCACCAGTTACGTCCAGTTAATTAAGCTCTTTGTAATTAGTCTTAATCGTCTTGTTAGGGGGCCCCTGCTGATAATAACCCAATAGCCAGGAATCCCCAGGTAGAACAAATGGCTCCTGGGGGGATGTCAGCCGACTAACCGTCTGTGTGTGCTAAGTGGGCAGCAGGAAGCTTCAAGAGAAAGGGATGGCATTGCAAGGGCAGAAGGAAAGGGGAGGATTTGAGGTGGCCCCCTGCCTCGGTTTTGCATTTTATCCTGGACTTTGTCCAAGATGCAGAATCCAGGAAGGGCTGGCTTAGAACCTTGTCTAAGAATGAAGAAAGTATCCCTGTCAGCGACTCCAGGAAATGGAGACATCTGATTCTTTCCTTGACTTTGGGTTACAGAGCGGTTTGGGGGGCATGGAAGTTAGGAGCAGCCAGGAGTAAGGCTATGGGATTATAAATCTACATGACAAGGAATGCTGGCAAGAACAGGCATCTTCCTGAGTGCCATTCACACAGACATCAGCAGGGACTACTATGTGTCCCATATCTGTGGGCTGGTTTGGAATCTGCTCACTGAGTTCCCAACAAAGATCCAAAACATTTATTGAGCACCTACTTTAGGATGAGGCGCTATCAGTCACAGGGGTGACTGTCATGATCCACATGTCACAGACGAGGAAACCGAGATTCAGAGAAGTTAAGCACGCTTACGTGGAGTCCCAGGAGTTAGTGGCAGAACCAGGTTTGCAGCCTATGATGCCTTGACTAAATTCACCCCTTTTTCTCACAGCACAGTTACCTTATTATTTGGGGAGAACATATTCAGGTGTTGTTTATATAAAGCAGTCTTTGGCCTGGGAATTCAGTCAGAAAGCCCTGGGGTGGACTTTCAGCCCCAGTGGGCAATCCTGGGATCAGGATGCAGGGAAGATGGAGCTGTTCTAAACCATGAGCTTGAGAATGAATTAGCTTGTCCAGCCCAGTCTCAGATTCTCACCTCATGGACATCTATTTGGATACATAACACAGTGATATCATTTGCACTAAAGCATGGATGCTAGGAGCATGTAGAAAAGCCATCATCTCTTGCTCTGTAAGAACATGCTTCCTCCTCCAGCCCCTTCCAGTCCAGGACTGGTGTATGGGATGAGCACTCTGGGATCCAGAAGACTAAAGACCACCGTTGTTCCCATCACAGAGCAGCAACCCTGAAAACCACAGGGGGAGTCAGCAAGGGAAGGTTTCCTTCCCCTACCAGGCTTGGGGATCCCCCATAACTGATGGACCAGGAAATTACTTCACGTTCTATGGAGTTGCAGCTGATAAGCCATTTGGGGACATACTCCTCAGAAGTGGACAGACCTGGGAGCCTAAAACTGCTCCTTAGGCCAGAAATCAGGTGGTGAGCCTGGCGTGGGGTGGAGGAAAGTGCGTCCTCCATAGAGATGGTGCTGGCCTGAGAAGGATGGATGCCCCTGTTAGTGTACCACCAGATCTTAGAACTGCACTCTAATTCAGGAATCTTATGGGCTGGCTGAGTCATCGAAAACGGTTCTCTAGTTGGGTATTTTCATCGGCAAAACATCCCCTGGTTCCCCATCTGAGATGTAGCCCAGGGCTGCATAGACTCTGGAGCTGCACTTCAGTCTCCTTATAAAGTGGTCCAGGGGCTCACCTGGTGTGACATGTCACTGTCGTCATCCTCTTCCATCATTATCTTTCTGATCCCTCTTACCTGTTTGCTGTTTTGATGAATATCTAAAAGGAACCATGACTACTCTTTCGTCATTCAACTAAATTGTTGGTTAATGCTTTCAGGCTTGCACTTTCTTCCTTTCCTCCTGGGTAATGGAAGCCTATGGGAGCTAAAATCCCAAGGCCTTGAATGTAAGACAGAATTTGAGGAGTGGCGATGGGACACCTATAGAGCCCCAAATCCCACTCACCTCCTCTACTCAGGTCCATTCCAGCAAGGCTTTTCCAAACACCATCCCCAAACACCAAGAAGTATCTCTTCCCTTCCCTGTTGCTATGGTTTTCACATCCAGAGATGTCCAGGCCTCCAGAACGTGTGGAAGATATGTCTTCAACTGGGAATGAATTGGAAGGCTGTTTTCCTCCTAGAAGTAAAAAGATAAACTTGCAAACCAAAGAAATAGGGTGGTGGCCCTGTCTTTTCAGACATCTGAACCAACCCGGCTGTGTGGAGCATATTCTGACTGGAGTCAGAGCTCTAGGCTTGAGGACTTACCAGAATCATGAGGAGAATGTGTGAGTCTTATATTCTCCCAAAGAGCCAAAGATCTCAACATGTAGCCCAGAGTGGCTTCACCTGATTCGCCAAATTGTCATTTTGGCCAAGCCTTCCAAGGGAAGAGGTGATTCAGCTTTCGTATACTTCAGCGCCATCAGCCAACCATAGCAAAGTGGAAACCTTGGACTTGTTCTTGATGGGAGGAAAGATCCCATGGTTAGGAGGACGACAGCTTTGAGAAGAAGAGGAATGCCAAAGGCCCAGCCATCTACCGCCCAAAGGCTCGGAGACGGGACTAAGTTTTCTGTGAACCAGACATAATGATTGAGCCTTCCTGGAACCCCCAGAACTGGGGACAGTACAGCTTTTAGAAATAGACCTTATCTCTTGCCCAGAACAGGCCAGAACCATTCTATATGATCATCTGCATATCCTGCTTTCTCTTTTATTGAGGAAAAAGACGTGACTATCAAGTTTAGTCAGCCAAGCAGAGGCACCAGCCTGTACCGTGGAGCCCCGCCCCCTTCACTCTGCTAATCTGTTGAGAACTGGCCGCACTCACCCCTTCAGCTTCATCTGCGTTTCCTTTGCTGGAACCCTATAGTTGAACCATGCTGGATTACTGGTCATTGTTTAAACACCTTCATTTCCCCATCTGTAAAATGGGGTAATAGTCATACCAGTCATACAAGGGTGTCAGTAGAACTAAATGATTAATACCTGTAAAATGCTTGGAATAGGACACATAGTAAGTACTTACAAATGTTAGCTCTTTTTTTTTTTTTTCCCCAGCACAGTGTCTTGCTAGAAAACGAATGAATGAAGTGCATCATCTCACTCTTGCGTCTAACTTGCATCTCTGTGTCCTTTAAAACTCATCTCTGGTGTTTTCTCTACTAGGAAGCCTCCCTGGCTGTCCTGGCCCTATGTGTTCCTCCTTTGTCCCTCATTAGCACCTCACCTTTAGCTTTATTATTGCACTCATCACCTTGGACATGAAGGCCCACTGGCTTGTCTCCCCCAGTAGACTGTGAGCATCTTGAGGGTAGAGATGAACAGATGCTAGACACTCATGAGTGGAGTAATTACATAAAAACTGTAGGTAAAATGTGTTGAGTGCTATTTCCTAGTTACTAAGCTAGGAACTTAACATGCATTATCTTCTTTAACTTCTGTAACAGTCCTGTGAGGTGGGGATAATTATAGTTATTCCTATTTGCAGGTAACAAAATTGAGTCTTAGTTAAGTAACCAAACCATAGCTGGGATTTGAACCCCAGTAATCAGGGCTGCTAACAATGACACTACACTGGCTGTTTGTTAAACCAGGAGTTTGGTATGTATTATATCACTTGCTGAAACTTGTGTTTTGTAACCTCAGTGAACCACAACTCAAAATTGGGGAGAACAAGGGGCTGTTCTTACACGGTTTTTGTTTTGTTGTAGGTTCAGACAAGTGGACCTCTCTAGAAAGAAAACTGTTTAATAAAGCACTAGCCACTTACAGCAAAGACTTTATTTTTGTACAGAAGATGGTAAGCCTGCTTTTCTCATTGCTCAAATTTGGGAAATGGTAGGTTTTTAGAATGTAAAATAATTTGTTTAGAAATATTTAGACATATTTGCTTACCGGCTTAATGCTTTCATACAAAAGGATGTCTTCTAGCCCTTGCTGGTGTAGGGCGATAGTTGTCTTAGGGGTGGCATGACCCCAGTGTAGAGATGTGGGGGAGAGGGAAGGATGGAAAGAAGGACATAATTACTTAGACATGCAGTGATGGGGAGTTTATTTTCTTAACAAATAATGTATAACTCATACATTTTTCTCAGAATAAATAGAACTGGGGCTTCTGGTTCACAATTTACATAATTTATTTCCTGGGTATCTGATATGTTGTCATTTCTGACAGCTAGAATTTTTTTCTGGGAAATTGAGGAGGGGAAGACACAGCCTCTCCACAGTCCAATAGGAGAGTTCCGGGTATTGGCCCCTAGTCACAATGACAGTAATAGTAATAATAATAATAACACCTCACATTTATAGCATTTTACAGCAAAACAAGGACTTCCACACACACGAAATAGCATTTTATATAGCATATAATACACTTAATAGGACTTAATTGGCTGAGAGGTGGTTTAGGCCAAAAAGTTAAAATGATGCAGAGTATTTCAACAAGCCGATGAATGGTGGAACCAAATTGTATTAGTAAAGGTCATTAAGGATGTTCGGGCACACAGGAAACAGGGTCACAGGTGACAGCTCCCACTGGCTCCAGGCTGGTCCACCTGGTCCTCAGGGCTCACGTACGGTGGCACCTGTTCTTAATCGAGGGCCTTGCCCAGATGGGAATCAGAAATAGGTGGCATTGTCTTTGCCTGGCCTCTGCCTGCCGATTGCATTCTGTCCTACCTTTCCTTGCCTTCGTGGCCAGCACTCCCTTTGCTGCCCTGTAGCCCAGCAACTCTGTGCTCTGACCTTTCCGGGGTCATCTGCCGCTGGGACTGAACTGTCCTAGGTCTATTCCTTGAAGGCCATGCACCTCTTTGATTGACGATGGATTCATGTGTTGTGCTTCCCAGGAAACACAGGTTTTCAAAGAAGAGCTCTGTGGGTTGGTATCCTCACTCCCTGGGGCGATTCTACTGTAGAAATTCCGGATGCCAGGTGGATGCGACAGGGGCAACTTTGAACAGACAGGACTTCTGGGGGTGCCCTTCCATCTCACCATGTGGGTGACTGCATTCCCTGCCCTGACCCCCAAGGGTAGGGCCAGACTTTTATCTGCAGCTCAAAACCTACATTATTGAATCTCCTCCTTGAGCTTAGGGGTACATGAGCTAACCAAAGGAATGTTTTCTCTTCAAAATACATACACCTTTTTCTCTTTGGGGGTGAACGAGGCAAGGCTTGTTCCCTACGAAAACTAAGCTCTTGTCATCATAACTTTTTCTTTATATTCCTGTTTGATTACTAAGGAACATTCTTCATAAAAAGATTTTGAAGGTCAACAAATTGGAGAGCTAACGCATTCAAGTACATTAAATGAAAAAGCATGCTACTTTATAGATTAACAAAACGAGTAAGCTCTCTACTGATAAGAAAAATCTACAAGCTGTATAGTGAAAAAAAATTAAATTGCAAAGCAATATATATAGTGTGCTACCTTTTGTGAAGGAGGAGGATGAGGGAGGAAAAGATGTTTGTATTTGTTGGTATGTGCATAAAGAAATTCTGGAATGCTGCCCACAAAATTAGTAACAGGCTCTCTGTGTTGCAGGATGCGGAGTAAGAATGGGTGGGAAGGAGACTTTCCACTATATACATTTTTTATTGAAAAAATTGTACTATATATTACAAAATGAAATCTTCAAGAAAGCTTGCTGCTGTGTATACTGCCCACAGCTAGAGCTAATCTTGAGCTCACTTTCCCGGCAGGTGAAGTCTAAGACAGTGGCTCAGTGTGTGGAGTATTACTACACGTGGAAAAAAATAATGCGGTTAGGGCGGAAACATCGGACACGCCTCACGGACATCATGGACGATTGTGTGGTAAGTGAAGCTACTAAGTCATTGCTTATGCTGACCCCACACCCACCCCACACCTGAGTTAGTAAGTGGCTGGTGTTTGATTTGGTTTTGCCACCGAGGTGGCCTCATGAGTGGGTGACAGAGGCCCAGCTTCCTGGCTGGATTCAGGACTTAACCTTCCTGCTATAGGCAGAGGAGGATGTCTTCGGGGTTGACCTATAGTTCAGTATTTAGTTTGGGAGGTGATGGCTGGCTTGAGTTCCAAGGCAGACAGGAGTCAAGAGAGTTAAGCCAGGATGGTCCCAGCGTTGACATGGTTGATTTATAAATGGTGCCTTCGCACCCCTTGGATCCTTAAGGGTCATTAAGGATGCTCAGGTACACGGGGAGCGCTCAATTAACATTCGTTGAATGAATGAATGAACATTTTTCCAAGATAGGAATCACACCATTTCATAGCAACAGCTGCTCTATGAACCTACTAGAGAGAGATAGGGTGAAAGGGGGATATTGAGCAGAGGAGTGGTGCTAAAGAAGACATTAGCATCCCTTCCTGATCCTTCCATGTCACAGATTCTACTGGCCAGAGAACAGAACATGCCTCAGAAGGAGGAAGGAGTCCTTCTATAAAGCACAAGCAAGGAGGCGCTTTGACCCCTAGATAGTACCAGGAACTCTCAATTATTGAGAACTAGTTACTAGTGTATAAATTACTCTGATCCTTCCATTACCTTTCTCCTCCTTTGGTTTCCCCAGTAGCAGACAATCAAGTTATCTGCATATACCTAGTAAAGACATAACAAGATCGAGATATCTTTCAAACTCCATGTATGTGACTTTGGTAATTACTGTCACTTCTCATCCTCATAGTTAATTCTCTCTTCTCTGCATCCACAGCCAGGGGAAATCTCGTTTTCATACTTAATGGAAAACATGCCGTGTGTGTGTATGTAAAGATGATGTATCTTTCAACAAATTATTTAACTCCAGCCTCTGTCATCATCAGGGAGAGCATTTAGAATTCATGAATGGTGTGAACAGTTCTAATTATACTTTCATTCCCAGTCGTGCCCCACTTATAAGTGTTAGCATATATGTGGGTTATTTTATTTAACCAGCGCTTACATCACACTTTCTACGTGCTAGGCACTTTGCAAAGATGGACTCATTTCATCCTGAGGCAGGAAACTGAGGCACAGGGCTTAGTTAACTTGCCTGTGGTCACACAGCTGGTGAGTGTGTTGTCTGAGCCTGATTCCCTTGTATGATACTTAAGTGCAATCAAATGCAAATTCACATAAAGAAACGTAAAACCACTTGGATTCATTAATGCTTCAAAGCCTGAGCTCTTAACTAAGAATTGATCCTAGCTAGGAAGTGTACACACACATATAAACTTATATTTGGAAGCAGATATCAGAGAAAATAGACACCTATGCAGTAGGATGGTATTGCCATTCTTTTAATCAAAGATGACAGACAGTAGTCTCTATTCACAGTTTCCTGTGACCAGGGCTTTTGTTTGACTGGTTTATAGCAGTGCTGTCTTGCATTCGAATAGCCTTTTCTCATCTGTGGCCTAATTATTTTTTTTTTAAAAAAAAAGCAGTATGGCCTCTGGTTCAACCAACTAAAAGCATTTGAAAGGGTAAACAGCAATATGTATGTGCTGCTGTGGGTGACCCAGGGATGTTAATAAATGCCCTCTGCCCCTGGAGCATGTATTCTAGTTGCAAAAATGTGACATACACAAGTGGAAAGTTTACCATGAACCTCAAAGTGTTTAAGGTCAGTAGGAGATGAGAACCAGAGAGTCTGAAAGTTAGACAGGACCTTAGGGACTCTCTCATCCGACTCCACCATTTGACAGATAGGAAGTTGAGGGCCAGATATGGGAAGGGCTTGCCCAAGGTCACAAACAGCATTGCTTTCCAAATGAGTAGTATAAGCAGTAAACAAGGAAGCACCCAGAATCCTGGCCTTGGAGACCTCAATCTTGGTTCCAAGGCCCATCTTAGGGCGGTCACTGCCGCATTCCAAGCCTCAGCTTCCTTACTTGTAAGATGGAGCAGATGATTTGGAACCTGTTGCCATCGAGTCCATTCCAACTCACAGTGACCCTTTAGGACAGAGTAGAACTGCCCCACAGGGTTTACAAGGTTGTAAATCTTTATATAAGCAGACTGCCACATCTTTCTCCCAGGGATCAGCTGGTGAGTTTCAACCACTGACCTTTCTGTTAGTAGTCAAGCGCTTAACGACCATGCCACCAGGGCTCCTCTGATGATTTGGAAAGTACCTTCCAATTCTGGAATGTTCTGGGCTCTGTCAGTGCTATGTTATGATGAGGTCAAACTCAGAGGATACAATCTCCTAAGGAAAGTTGGTGTCTCTTTAGGCTCAAGTATTACCAAGAGCCTAGGACAGTGCCTGGCATAGTGTAGACGCTCAGTTAACATTTGTTGACTGAAGAGTGGATATTTTTCCAAGATAGGAGTCACTTCAGTTCCTCTGTGAACCCATAGAGAGAGACGTAGTAAAAGGGGGATGCTGAGCAGAGGAGTACTCCTAAAGAAGATGTTACCACACCACACAGTGGCTCCATCTTGGGCTGACGGGGCTTTGAAGATGGATAGGAAAGGCCCACCCAGACCAGATTAAGGAGAAGAAGTTAAGAAGTGTGCCAGGGGACATGCCATTTTCGGCTTATTCACCAGGAGCTAGTACTGGACTAGGTCAGGAGTATCCACACCCTTGTGACCTGTGAGCTTAGGGAGAACAAAAAGCTTATGTGCAAGGATGACTCAGGCACACAAAAACAAGAAAATCTTGATTTCAGGCCAGCTTGGTAGCTTACAGCTCCCTTTTGAGCACTGTGCGCAAGTCAGCCTACGGAGGATCACCTGCCACGTGGAGATGAAAAATTGGGATCACGTAAGGACTTAGGGAGGGTCCTGTTCTTTGTCCTCTGGGACAACTGGGATGGCTCTCCTGATCATGTGTCCTCAGTGGTTTGTTAAAGGGGCAAGTGACCATTTCCTCCCAGCGATGAAACAGGCTCAGGTAGTTCAGGGTTTGTTAAGGACTTAAAGGGGAGAGGGGAAAAGGAGGAGCATTTGGAAGGAGTGCCGTTTGAGTAGCCAACAGGTCAGCAAGACAGTTGCACACTCAGCAGGGGTGGTTTGACTTTTGACCTGAGGCCATCACAGGCCCTTCCACCCCTGGAGGTAGAAGAAGGTGGGTCCTGTTGAGGGGGGGTAGGGAGTGTGCTGGCTGGCCACACCTTCCTGTCCCCTGCCCATGCTCCCTCCTCAAGACCAAAATTTGTGGGTCTGGCTGTGATCAAAATTCAGCACAGTTTAAGAAACCAAGTGAGCACAGCAATAAAGGAAGAAGGAGTCAGAAATAAGAGGAGGAAATGGAACGTGTGGCTAATTGGCCTTCATGAACAACTGCCTCCTTTGCTATGAGACCTGAAGAACTAAATGGTGCCCGGCTATCATTACCGAATGTTTCGATCAAAGATCCTGTAGAAGAATCCTAATCAAAAGAAGGAAGATAGAGAATGGAATTTCAAATTCTCATGGACGCCAGAATTTCTGGAGCCATGGACGCTGGATGAACCCCTCAAACTGTTGCCCCGAGATACTCTCTAAACCTTAAACCAAGAAGATCCCCTGAAATCTCCTTAAAACCAAACACCAGTTTAGCTTAACTAGTAAAGCATGTCTGACTTGAGCATTGTACTCTTTTAAGGACTATCTATATGGGACCTAATTGACAACAGCAACTCAAAAGATCAGATAGGAACCTTAAGGGGGCAGTGAGTTTATGTTAATGGGAAACAGTTCAGAAAAGGAGATTGAGAAAGGTTGCACAGCTTGAAGAATGTAATCAATGTCACTGAAGTACACATATAGAAATTATTGAATTGGTGAATGTTCTGCTGTGTATTCTCAACAACAACAAAGTAAAAGAAAAGAAACCAAGTGATGTAGTTAGCTAACTTTGGAAGACAGTGGTCAGGGCTCCAATGGCAGAAGTGAAGCTTGCCTGTGGTCTAAGCAGCAGTTTACTCAAAACATGGTCCATTGGCAAGGGGCTTGGGAAACATCTCCTTTCCTTTGACTTTTAAAGCCAGTTGGTTCAAGTGATTTTGAGAGGTTTAGGATCTCTGTGTTTGAGCTAAAACCTAAGCCATTTAGAGATGGACAGATTTATACCTGTAGACATTTGCAGTCCGGCAAAGGAGTGGAAAAGGCTGCGGTTTTGGAATAAGACCAGGCCAGGATCTGAATCTCCGTTCAGCTTCTTGACCAGCTGCGTCACCCTGAGAACATTACTTCTCTGGCCAGTTTCCTCATTTGTTTAAAAAAGAAAAATTTGTACAAGGTTGTTGTGAGGACTATAAAGTGTGTGCGTGGTGGGGGGGGTGCCTTATTCATAGCAGGCATTCGGCACATCGTCGTCATTATCAATGACCGTAACACTCAAATTTGTGTCTTTGTGTAAATTCGAGTTGTTGAGCATTTGTATTATAGCTTCCTAATTTCTCATCATACAGATTCCAATTTCATGCCTGAGAAATAGAAATGTCATCCCCCTCAAGACACCTTTATTGAGGACACTCAAGGTTTTGAACACCATGTTAAACCATAACCACTTCTTTGCCCTTTATTTGCCCACCTTTTACCAATTTTAGGATATTACTAAATGTTTCCTCTCACAACACATCATAAAGTGGCCAACTTGTTGATACAAAGTTCTACGTGTTAGGATTTTTGTCCTCTTATCTTTGTATCTCTTAGTCACCATGTGGCTTGATGAGAAATTGTTTTGTAAGCATGTATAGATTGCCAGTTGAAATAAAGCCTATCTGAATTCCTGAGACATACATAACCGTAGAAGGGTATAATTTAATCTATAATTTTGTGGCTATATAGAATGTTTCTTCTAAGAGTTTTTAAACCAAGGAATGGCATTATGAGAAAATCGTATGTATAACAAATATCGTGAAACAAATGCCATTGCCATTACAAGTGACTGTGTAGTTTGTTTTAAATGCCAAGTTGTAGGTCATGGTCTGCTTAATAAACTGATATTTGAGACCACAAAGTTCCAGTTCTGTAAAGGAATGGGGCAAACCCTTGGAGTTTGGCATAATGTGCTTTTACCTGAAGCTTAAAGAACTTGAAAGATGGGTAAAATTCATATGGGAGTAAGACCATTTAAGTGAAATCAGCCTATGTGTTCTACACTACTACGAGGCTTGCAGCTTGTATCATAAACCACTGTATAAAATGGGGGTATTAGGCCTATATCTGTATTCATTAAAGTCTTTCAGCAAATGTAATCATCACTAATTAATCCTAATGAACTCATTGAAAACTGGAACCTGTACTTAAATGTTGTTAGTTGCTGTCGAGTTGGCTCCAACTCGTGGCTGTCGCATATACAACAGAATAAAACATTGCCCAGTCCTGTGCCGTCTTCACAGTTGTTGATGTGCTCAAATCCATTGTTGAGGCTTCTGTGTATTTTGAGTGGCTTCCAACCCAGGGGGGTTCTTCTGCTAGCATTATATTGGAGAGTATTCTGTTGTGATCCATAGGGTTTTCATTGGCCAGTTTTCAGAAGGAGGTCACTAGGCCTTTCTTCCTAGTCTCTCTTAGTCTGGAAGCTACACTGAAACCTGTGCACCATGGGTAACCCTCCTGGTATTTGAAAAACCAGTGGATAGCTTCCAGGATCACAGCAACACACAAGCCACCACACTATAACAGACAGACAGGTGGTAGTTTCCTATATACACCCTGTTAATGCATCATCTCAGCTATGCATATACATGATATTAAATACCAAAAATACTGAAACAGTGAGGGAGGTTCTAAATGTACCGTATTTACTGGCATTTTCTTTCTCCCTCACCCCTCAATCCAAACTGGAGAGAGGAAGCTGCGATTTCTGGATCCTAGGGTACTGCCACTCTCAGGAATCTTTATTCTTCTTGGAAATCCTCCCTTTTGTGTTCTAAGAATCATAGGCTCACCCAGAGTTACATCAGTGTCAGGGGTCCAGTAAATGGGAGCCCATGTGCTTTAAGTAGTGAGTCTGGAAAGAGAGCCTGGTGGAGACAAATGGCCTGTCAGTGGTCAGAGGCAGTTGGACATACCTTTTGTTTCCTCGTTTGTAAAATGAGAGGTCCCTGGTGGCGTAGTGGTTAAGTGCTACAGCTACTCATCAAAAGGTGGGCACTTTGAATCCACCAGCCGCTCCTTGGAAACTGTATGTGGCAGTTCTACTCTGTCCTACAAGGTCACTATGAGTCGAAATTGATGGCAATGATTTGGTTTGGTTTTGGTTTACAGACTATTTAGTGACATAGTCAATGTGAAAGTACTTTGTAAACTGTAAAGTGCTGTCACGTGTAAGCTGGAATGAGGTTAGTGTAATGTAGGATTTCCTTTCCCTGGTCCTCGGTCCTCTCTGGGCCTGGAGGAGCTAGCATCCCTTTACCTGCCACCCAGGTGAGGACAGAGAGAGCAGAGATACTTGAGGAAGAGGGAACCCTGGTGGCTCAAAGGTTAAGCACTTGGCTGCTAATTGAAAGGTTAGTGGTTCGAACCCACCCAGCAGCCCCACAGGAGAAAGACCTGGTGATCTACTCTTGTAAAGATTTCAGCCTAGAAAACCCTATGGGCAGTTCTGGTCTGTCACATGGGGTCTCTGTAAGTCAAAACTCAATGGCCCTCAGCAACAACAGTTGAGCAAGAAGTAGAATGGGAGCCTCCCAGATCCCTACGCTTCCTCCCAACCCACCCAGAGTGACTGCTCCATGCTGCTCCCTCCAGGAACTTATTTTGTGAACCTTGAGGAGGGCAGGAATCAGCTACTAAACTCTCCATGTGGTTGCCGTTCTGAAGTGGGAGTGGGGGGAGAGTGATAACAGCTGAGAGAATTGTTATTCATAGAAAATATTTTTCTTGTCCTTTTCATAAAATGCCACTGAAAGGAGGGGGAAAAAAAGGAGAAAATGAGTGAACAGAGGCATTGAACACTCTACTTTTTCCTAACCCGTGGTCAGAGACCAAAGAAAAAGCACATGATAAGTAAAAGGAAATACCTCCCTCCCCCATTTTCTCTCCTTTTCAAAATCACCGAGGCTCCCCGTTTCATCATATTTTCTGAAACAGCAGAGCAGGAGCATGTTATAACTGTGTGGCATGTGCTTCCCACGTGACCAGTGTCAGATCTGGCACCTCGGTGAGGCGCGTGAAAGTGTTACAAGGCCATTAACCTATAAAGCAAATTATCCTAGGTGTTTAGTCTCTCCAGAGAGGTTCCCACAGTACTGCTATTGCTTGAAAACCCTCCTCTCTGCCCACAGCAGGGGCAGTCTGCCTGAGTTTTAGTCACTGTCTTAGTTTCCTAGTGCTGCTGTAACAAATAGAAGTGGGTGGCTTTAAAGAACAGAAGTTTATTTTCTCACAGTTCTGGAGGCTAAAAATCTTGGCCACATCAATTCCTTCCTTGTACGTAATCTCAGGCTTTCCTTGGTTCCTTGACTTGTAGATGATCCTCACACGGTATCTGTCTTCCCCCATTTGTGTGTATGTGTGTATCTAATCTGCTCTTTTTAGAACTCAAAAATGATTAGATTTAGAACCCACCCTACTTGAGTATGATCTAATTAACACAACAAAGAAAAGCCTATTTCCAGAGGTATAAGGGTTAGGACTCCAACAGATATTTTGGGGGACACAATTCAATCTATAACAGTCACTTTCAATATCTCATGGTCTCCAACAAGGGGAAAAAACTGCATACAGAAATCTCTCCTCCCCGGGCTGTGGGGACCATGATCTTGGGGAACATCCAGCTCAATTGGCATAACACAGTTTATAAAGACAGTGTTCTCCATTCTGCCTTGGTGAGTAGTGTCTGAGGAGCAAGGGAGAATGAAGAGAACAGGATACAAGGAAAAGATTAGTCCAAAGGACTAATGGACCACAGCTACCAAGGCCTCCACCAGACTGAATCCAATATAGCTGAGTGGTGGCCGGCTACCACCACTGACTGCTCTGCCTGGATCACAACAGAGGGTCCTGGACAGAGCTGGAGAAGGATATAGAACAAAATTCTGTCACACAAAAAAAGACCAGATTTACTGGCCTGACAGAGACTGGAGAAACCCCGTGAGTATGGCCCCCAGACACCCTTTTAGCTCAGTGGTGAAGTCACTGCCGAGGGTCACTGTTCAGCCAGGGATTGGACAGCCCCATAAAACAAAACGGGACTAATGAGGCACAGCAGTCCAGGGAAAGGACTAGAAAGCAGGAGAGGACAGGAAAGCTGGTGATAGGGAATCCAAGGTTGAGAAAGGACAGTGTCAACATATCGTGGGATTGTTAACCATTGTCATAGGGCAATATGTGTACTAACTGTTTAATGAGAAACTTTTGTTCTGTAAACCTTCATCTAAAGTACAAAAAAAAATTATCTATGTGAGATCAAATTGACAACAGCAACTCAAAAGGTTTGTTGGGAAGCCTAGGAGACAATGAGTTGAAGATAATGGTGATGGAATAATTTGGAAAAGGACAGTGAGAATAGCAGCACAGCTGGAAGAACATAATCGATGTCACTGAATTGTACATGTAGAAGTTTTTGAAATGGTGTACCTTTGAATATGTATATTTTCACACACCCCCCCCAAAAAAAAGGTCTTCCAAAGTCAAGAGGGGAGAGTGTTGACATGATGGTGTATCTTTGGCTATGTATATTTTCACCAAAAAAGAAAAAAGATCTTCCAAGGACAAGAAGGGAGAGTGTTGACATGTCGTGGGGTTGTTAACAACTGTCATCAAACAATATGTGTACTGACTCTTTAATGAGGAACTATTCTGTAAACCCTCACCTAAAGTACAATAAAAAAAAAATTTTAATTTTAAAAAAAAAAGAAATCTCTCCTCTCTGCCCTTAGCATATATTTATATAAGGATGAGGGGACACAAAGAGAAGGAGGGGGCTTCTTTGACTAAAAATTCTAAGTGTACAGAGAGCAAAGCTTTTCGAGACCTTACTTATCTCCGGCTGTTCCTTATGCAGAAACAGATGAATCAGTTTGCGTCTCCTCTACTAGCCTGTGAGTTCCGTTCATCACTGACTTGACGTTTGGGTACTTTTCTTCCTTTTGTTACCTTAACACTAGACAAGCGAAGAAGAAGAAGAGCTAGAGGAGGAAGAGGAGGACCTGGAAGAAGATAGGAAATCCACCAAAGAAGAGGAGAGTGAAGGCCCAAAGTCCCCGGAGCTGCCACCGCCATTCCCTGCCCTGGCTCCTGCTGAGGGGCCGGCCATGCAGGCCCTCAGCCAGCCCTCCGGCTCCTTCATCTGTGAAATGCCCAACTGTGGGGCTGTAAGTGTCTTTGCGCCCCCTCTTCTCCTCTCTGGGGCTCTAGGACTAGCAAGGTCTATGCAGCTGTGCCTTACTTTAAGAGACCATGCCTTTTAGAAAGGGTTCAGTTAAACAATTCAGACATTCGCATTGTTTTCTTTCTTTCATCCATTTACTTATTCATTAGGCCAACGAAGATTTATGGAGTGTATGTTCTGTGTCAAGCACTATGTTGGGTGCTCTGGGGACACAAAGGAGGTCCCTGCCCATAAGAAGTGTGTGACTTGGAGACCTTCACTGCCGTTACGATGTCTTTGCAGTGTCATTGACTTCCCGAACTTTCTGTCCACGCTTCTTGGTGCTTCTCCACTCCTCTGGACTGTGTCAGACAAGTCAAGCCACATAAACATGCGTTTAAATGCACTAGGGGCACCCACGAAGAAAGATTATGTTTTAATAACATAGCTATTTATCACCCCTACCCCCCTGCAGTTTCACCTGTCTGGACGATTTTCACATTTCATATTCCATAAAGTGTTCCTGATTCTTATGCCACTAATTTAAAATTTCAGAAAGTTGTTACAAAGATTTAGACAAACTTTATCTTTGAGTACTCTATGTGAAAATAAAAAGACTTACTAGGCACATTCATCATGTAAAAAAAACTGAAAGGGGGGGTCTGTGTAATTACTTAACCTAGTATTTTTCAAATACTTTAGAAGCATCGTTAGTTAATTAAAACTAATTCATAGACTGATCATTCTTATCACTAAAGGAAGTCCTTGCTGAGTCTACTGGCCTCGTGTATATTAACGGATCTTGCTTTGGACTCGTCTCAGCTTGAATTCAAAACCTTCCTCTCTGCCAATAGACAGAGTGAATTGGTGAGCTTTTGCCAAATAGAGTTTCTTAAAGCCAGGCACACCTGTATAGGCAAGTTCTAGAGATATTACCCAAAAAATGAGAATGTGGCTTTTTTCCATAAGAAGCCCCATTTTCCTCACACTAGCGCTCTTGTTGTCATTTGTTCATTATATAGGACACTGCTGTTGTCCAGAGCTTACTGGGTGCTGCTTGTTAAGTCTGTCACTTCAATAAAGAAAGCAGTACGCTTTTAAAATATTTAGATCCTAAAGCAGGTATTCACTTGATTTATATAGTGAAGAAAAAAATGGAAAAGGTTAAAAAAAAAAAAGCAATACACATTTTGCATTCACTTTCAAGAGAACATAAGAAACTGCTAGCTTGTTTCCATCTTTGATGTTTAATGGATGCTTCACTCCATCAGTGCCATTTTGTATAGCACACTTCAGGGATCAGTAAGATGTGTCTTAAACGACAGTGTTTATCGGTGAACTTGTTCAGAAATTGGATGCCTCCTCAATACCCGGTTTTGGTGTACAGTCAATTTTTTACTGAGTGGGAAGTCATCTTTTACTTGTCCCAATCGGAAATACTTGGCAAGAAGATGGATGTGTTTTTAATGACTTTTAAAAATCACAAGGAAAAAAGCATGTTGGTTTTATTCTTTGCCCAATGATGGAGGATAAGGTTACTAAATCAGCAATATTTTTTTTTCCCCTGAAATAGAATAAACAAGCTTTATGAAGTTAACAGAGAGCAACCACCTCCAGGTGGACAGCTCTGTGGGCACTCCATTTAGCCAATTAGTTTAATGAACTAGAAGTTAGTGCTTTGGGACTTCAAGAGGGTGGAGTACATCCCTTGGCAGCACCGGTTCTCAACTGGGAGTGATTTTGTCCCCCAGGGGACGTTCGGCAATGTCTAGAGACATTTTTGGTTGTCATAACTGGGGAGATGCTACTGGCATCTGGTGGGTAGAGGCCAGGGATGCTGCCAATACAGTCCCCCACGACAAAGAATTATCCAGCCCAAAATGTCAGTAGTACCAGGTGGAGAAACCTTGCTTTTTGGCAAGCGTCAGACGACTGTCCAACTCCTTACCCTTTTTATCATCCTGTAAAATTGTGGGGTCTAAACCATTGCTCCAACAGTGGGTTGGGACTTAGACATAATACATAAAATATGCCAGAGCAGCTAACCAGTGTATCTGGCCTCCTGGGGGAGATAGAGCTGAGCAAGCAGGCTCAGTTATGGGGTGCTGTCTCCATACAACCAGAGTACCCCTGCTTTGAACTGTCTTATATATTGGGCTTTGGAGTTTAAGACTTGATTTGTTGGCAGTGAAGGAAGGAGGGCAGGAGGGAGAGAGGAAAGAAAAGTGGGGGCTAGTTCTCAGCTTAAAATAATTTTGAAGGCCAGTCCAACCCCTTCATTTTACACGTGGAAAAACTGAGGTGTCAGAGGGAAATGGCCCAATGGCCTCCCTGGTAGTTATGACAGAGCTGGATCTAGACCCTGGTCTCTTGACTTCTAGATTGGAGCTTTGTCCTCTGCAGTATGCCACATCGTCTGTCTTCTGGTTATAACAGTGATTGGGGTGTTTTTGTTGGTACGGCATTTGTGGTTGTGATATTGGATCTCTACTTTCTGTGACATTATGCCCAAAGTTATATAAAACCCTGCGCCCTGTCATTATACGCTGTTTCAAGTATCCCATGTTTTACCATTAAGTAACTAATAACCCTAATTTCCTTTTCAGGACTGTAGATGTCATGTCACTCCCTTTCTTCCCCAGGTGTTCAGCTCCCGACAGGCACTGAATGGCCACGCCCGCATCCACGGAGGCACCAACCAGGTGGCCAAAGCCCGGGGAGCCGTCCCCTCTGGGAAGCAGAAGTCTGGCGGTGCGCAGAGCGGGTACTGCTCTGTGAAGAGCTCCCCTTCTCACAGCACCACCAGCGGCGAGACGGACCCCACCACCGTCTTCCCCTGCAAGGAGTGTGGCAAGTAGGTGAAACTGGACCTGGGACGGAGTCTAAGCTTGTGACAGATCGTTGCTCTGTGGGGGCCAGGCCCAAGATATTCTAAGGTTTCTTCAGCTAGGAAGAGAACCCTGACTCTCCGAACTCACCCTCATACCATCCTTGAGGCTCTGTGGTGCCTCAGGGTGGGCGGACCTTGTCTCTGACTCAGAATGTGGCCATTCTGATGTCTTATAGCTTGGTAAGGATGGACATTTTCAGACAAGTGAACCTCTTGCGGCAGAAGTTTATTCTTTTCTGGAAATGGTGGGTGAGACTCCGATTCGCACTTCTTTCCTTCACGCCCAACCCATAGTCACTGTCTTTGCATCCCTAAGCACCTAATCAGGAACTTTCTATAGCAGGAATGGCCTGTACGGGACACTCCTACCTCCTCCACTGCTCATTCCTGTGCCCAGGGCAGGCACTACTGATCAGTCACCGCACTCTTTGCTGCCACGTTAAGACAGGCCTTCAGAATCCTTTTCATTGTGGCACAGCTAATTGAGCAGAGTTCATACATGAGATAAAACCTATTCGCCATCACTTCCCTTATAGGAATAATTTAAAACAGCAACTAAGGGGGAGAAATTGACAGTGGGTAGTAATAATAATAGCTAACATTTACTGAGCGCTTATTATGTGATATATGTTATGTGCATGAACTCATTTAATCCTCACACGACAGACAAATACTGTTTTTATCCTCCTTAAAAGTGCCGTTTCTTTATCCCTAACAAGGAAGTTGGAAGTTAGGCAAAACAACTTGCCGCAGGTCACGCTGCCAGCAAAGAGCAGAGCTGAGATTTGAACCCAGTTTTGTCTGAATGCAGAGCCTGAGCTCCTTCCACTGCTCTATCCTGTCAGTTTTGATTTGCTTGTTTATTTAGGTAGGAAATAAATGGTAAAGGTGAGCTCACTGATGCTAAGGTGCACAGTCCCCTCCTTGCTGCATCCAGTATAGAAGTCCGGTTTAATTCTCAGTGAGCCTGCCAGACTTGGAGACGTATGACATTGTCATGGGTGACATCCTTTGGAAGCCTTGCTGAATTTCTCTTCCAGTCCCTCAAATGTGAAGAGAAATGTTACCTGCCCACCAGGTAGCTGCTGAAACTCTGCCAAGAAAACAATCCCTAGTTATATGAGCCAAGCCACCTGGGACCTCAATGTATAATATACATCTTCATAGATTAAGTCAGACAACTTAATAGTAGTTGCCATTTATCAGGTACTCATTATGTGCCTGGCATTGTTCTAAAGGATTTTTACAGATACTGATTAATTTAACCTTTAAAATAATCCTTTGAGGTAGGTACTATTAGTAGCTTCCTTTTTACAAGTGGAGAAACTGAGGGACAGAAAGGTTAAGCTGCTTGCCAAAGTGTGCAGCAAATGAGTGGCAGAGTGGGAGCTCAAACCATGCAGGCAGTATAGGGCAATGATTAGGAAGCTGGACTTTGGAGTCAGAATGTCTGCAGTTCACATCCTGGTCCTACCTCTTCATCTGTCAAATGTGGGGCAATATTAGTACCTACCTCCTGGCATTGTTGGGAGGATTTAGTGAGATAAAACATGATTAGTACAAATAAAGTAAAAATAAATGTTTTAAAAACAAAAACAAATGTGCAGGCTGGCCCCAGGGCCTGTGCTCTGAGAAAGCTCAACTCTGTTAGGTGGCACCCGCCAATGTGAATTGGAACTAGCGACATGTCACGTCATCAGAGGGGCTCTCTTCCACTCCGGGACGCATAGGACGGGAGAAATAAAATTCAAGCATCTGTCCGCTCTTCTGTGCCCTGACATCGTCCAGAGCCCAGACATGACATCATCTTCATGTCACCACCCACGACATGTTGACTGAACCACAGAGGAAATGCAGCCCCCAGAATGATCATTAGGTTTATTTCTTGAAATAATGAAACCACCACAGCTGACTGTCCATTAACTCCCACCTGTTAGCCCTAGGGTAGAAGTGTGGGGGCATTGGGGTCTTCCCCGTTTCCTCAGAGAGGAGCCAGCATCTTCCGCTCCCTGAGCTCACACAGGCTACAACTTCTTATTCCACCAGGTGGAGACGAAGGACATTTTAGCAAACAAAAATTAGTATTTAGAGCTTTCTGGCTGTCTTTCAGTGGCATCCATTAAATGTATTCCTTGTTATTGTTTTGTGTTGCTTGGGACATTTTTCTACCATAACTCCAGCTAAGATTTTATGGAAAACAGAAATATTTTCTGTGGTTTCCCAGAATAGAAAACCAAAACAAACAGATCTGTTGCCATTGAGTCTGTTCCAACCCATAGCAACCCTATAGGACAGAGTAGAACTGCCCCATAGGATTTCCAAGGAGCGGCTGGTAGATTCAAACCACCAGCCTTTTGGTTAGCCACTGTAGCTTAACCACTGGGCCACCAGGGCTCCAGACTAGGAATAGTATTAGACAAATTTTCACAGAATGCCTCTTTTACCTGCTGAAATTATGTTCTTTACATGAAACAGTTTTCAGCACGCCCAAGTAGAATTGTGATTCACCAATCTGTTTGACTCGGTCTAAAAAACCAGTGTGATTTTTCTTCTTTTATGGGCTCAGGAGTGAATATAAAGTATTTACAACACCCTCTCCCCATAAGCAGAGAATCCCACATGTATCGGCAAACTTTTTTTCTGAAAAAGGTCTAGATAATAGATATTTTAGGTTTTGCAAGCCATACTGTCCCTGTCACAACAACTCAGCTCTTGCCACTGCACTGCAAAAGCAGCCACAGACCGTACATAAGTGAACAGACATGGCTGTGTCCCAGTAACACATTTCTTACAAACGCAAGCAATAGGCTGGATTTGGCCTGCTGGTCACAGGTTGCAGACCTGTGGTCTAGAAAATTAATCCCCAAAATGTGATATCCTTTTATCCCAGCTTCAACACAGCTTCAATAATCTTGATAGTTTGGACCTGATAATTCTTTATCTAGGGGAGGGGCCGTCCTTTGTATTGTAGGATGTTTAGCAGCATCCCTGGCCTCTACCCACTGGATGCCAGTTGTACCTCCCCCCAGTTGTGACAACTAAAAGTATCTCCAGGCATTGCCGGATGTCCCCTGGGAGGGCAAAATCACCCTCACTTGAGAACCATTATTTTAGTCTAAAGTAAACGGGAAATGATGACAATATGATGGCTAGCAAGAAGGGGTCTCAGGTGAAAAGAAGTGGTCGACTGAGGTGGGTGCGGCTCAGAAGTCAAGTATAATGAAGAGAGACAAGGGCCCATTGGATCTGGCCTCACAGAGTTATTGGTGACTTTGAGAAGAACAATTGGATTGAGGGTGGAAGGGACCTGAGACCAATGGGAGAGGGTTGAAGAGAAAGTGTGGCACACCGAGTAAGTGCAGGCTGATCCTTCAAGACTTTGGGCTGTGAAAGAACTGGAGCAGGAGACAGAGGTGGATGATGGGGGCCCTCAGAGCTTGTTGGCATGATTGGGGGAGTCTCCAGTCGAGAGGGGTGGTTAGTGATGGCGAGGACCAGGGTGAAACTGAAGGAGGAGGAAAGGCATGCCCTCCAGATGGACAGGACAGCCTTTGAGAATTCATCCTCCATTGTAACAGGAAGGAAGCCTGATGGCTCCATCAATGTGTTCCTGTCCATCCCCTTTTCTTAAAAAGGCGAGGGGTCGGTGACAGGTCACGGGGAGGAGCTCCTCAGAGCTGAGGAGCGGGGACTCTGGCAAAGTCCCTCCAAACCAGGCATCCAACCCCGTTCCCTATAAGATGCCCTGATTTCCAAGAACTCTTATCTCCTCCTCAATTTCACATACCTCTTTTTCTTCATTTTTAGGGTCTTCTTCAAGATCAAAAGCCGAAACGCGCACATGAAAACCCACAGGCAGCAGGAGGAACAGCAGAGGCAAAAGGCTCAGAAAGCGGCTTTCGCGGCTGAAATGGCAGCCACCATCGAGAGGACTACAGGGCCGGTGGGGGGGCCGGGGCTGCTGCCCCTGGACCAGCTGAGCTTGATCAAGCCCATGAAGGACGTGGACATCCTGGATGACGACGTGGTCCAGCAGTTAGGAGGTGTTATGGAAGAGGCTGAGGTCGTGGATACCGATCTCCTCTTGGATGATCAAGATTCAGTTTTGCTTCAGGGCGACACGGAACTATAAAGCCCCTTGACGCTTAGAGACAGTGGAAACCACGGCCTACGTCTTCATTAATCAGGAAACCTGGACTGCCTGCTTGTTTTGTAACCATTTTAAACTACCTGTTTAAAAAGTGGTCATTTTATTCAGGTTTAGAAAAAAAAATCCAGTTTCTTTTCCTTTTATTTAAAAAAAAAAAAAAAAAGTTTTGTTGGTTGGGGGAGGTTTGGGGGGAATAAATAATTGGCACAAATATCTTTAAGAGGTGTTTCATCTGGGCTGCATTCTCCTGCAATCATTCCTGGCAGGTAATGAACCTGACGTCCGTGTTCCATTTGCTTTCAGATGTCCACCATCCTGGTTGCCTTTTATCCCAAAGCTTGCTGTGAGTGTGTGTGTGTGTGTGTGTGTGTGTGTGTGTGTGTGAAGCAGACTCCCCCCTCTGTCCTGAGGCCTTGGGCCGTCCTTTCCCACAAAGAGTTATTTTTATTCTGTTCTGAGTTTGTTCTGTAGTTTGCAATGAACCTGGTATCTTTGCCAGGAGACTGTGCAAGGGATAGCTTTCCACTGGCTAAAGCAAGCCCTCACATTCCACAGCTTTCCTCTAGCACATACATCATCGTCCGAGGAGTTGACCAAACCTGAAAAATCGACTTTCACTCTACCTGGCCAGTCCTTTAATGACCTATTCACAGCAACGGAGCACTGCATGACCGTAGGCCATCACTTCCCCAGCAGTGACTTTCCAAGGACCTGGTTTGTAGGGCAGACGTGGCCTTTCCCATGTTCCTGTGGTCAGCTCCGAATCATGCGCTGGCAGAGCTGTGTTTCAGTGAGAGCTAACTGGAGACCCCTCCTGGGTAAAATAACCCCGACTATTATTACAGCCAGGGCTGTAGAGGGTGGGTTTTGTTTTTAGGGAGGGTGGATGAGGGCCACACATTGAAGTACCTAGAATGCCAAGAAGTATTCTTTTGCCCAAAGACAAGATCCAAGAGTCTGCTCCTTTTTTGCAGCACTATTAATGGTCATTGGGGTTCTGAAATTACTTTGTGCCATTTGGAAGTACTGTGAAACCTCATTTGCTAGGATTTTGCTGAAATTCATAAACGCTGGACTGGTTAACCTTGACACTAGCTGTGAGAAAGGGTTTTCTAACGAAGGGATTGCAAATACAAGGGAAATAGCATTGAAAGCCAGCAAAAATAGCTTCAGATACCCCTTTAGCTACCATGTTTGCATTCAGACAATGAATGTATTCATTACACATCATTTACCAAAGCACTTCTAGAATTCTCCAAGCTGCATAACTTTGTCTCTTCCTGTCCCTGTCAGCAGGGTTGCTGTTTTCTACTTGAAGGTAATAGACCTGTAATCCTTCAAAAATGTCATTTAGCTCAGGCTTCTGACTGAATCAGACTGATCTAGCCCACTGTTAGGCAGGCGCTGCCCCAGCACAGAGAAGACCTTGCCTCTCACCGCTGCCCCTTCAACGTTAGTGCCCGTGACATCTGGAGCAGATGTTTTCAGGCCTTGCCCCAGCCCAGGTAGGCTTGTTCCCCAGCTCTGTTTAAGTGCGGTGATCATGCTGGGCTACTTGGCTGGCAGGTTAATAGCTCAACATTAGAATTATCAGCAGAAGCATGAGGGTAGGACCCAAGGAGCATTTTTTTAAGTTTGACACTGCAAAAGCATCAGGACATCCTCATCAGGCAGTCAGCTGTGGCCGACAGTGGCCCCACATGGGCGGTGTTCTTGGAATCTCAGGAAAGCCATGGACAGAAGAAAAGAATCTTTTCAGTCTTTCTGTTTTCAGAAAATAGCTTCTGGAGGTTTCCCTCATCTTTAGGAAAAAAAAAAGTTTTATTTGCTGGCATTTTAGACAGGTTATTATATCCTGTGTTTTATCTAAGCGTTTTTGAGTTAAGAACTCGCCTTGACGGTAGACATCAACTTTATGGCAGAACTATTACAGAACCATTCCAGCTGTCATATTGTCAGCTGATGCAGATAGAGTCGGCCACCGTGACCACTTCCCTCCACTTAACTGGTGTCTGGGAGTCACTCCGGAATGGTTCAGTTCCTGGGTCTATGGGAGCTTATCTATCAAAGGAGCAAACACCCAGAAGAATGTTTATAAAACAAATGTGTTTCTTCTGTTTAGAGATTTGCCCAGCTGTTCTGGTTTTAAACATTAAAAATAAACTGAATTGCCAAGGTAAAAATAAAATGCACAATTCAATTTTAATTTTTGTGCAGTACAGTGTAAGGATTTTTGACCTGAGATAACCAAAGAACTCCTCCTTAATGAGACAGTTCGATTTCCTGAATTAGTATTTCTTGACAATATCATCTTAACGAATTGACTTTGTAGTAAAATATTGCACTTTTTTTTTTTCTGAAATGATTCTGCCTGCATGTATGTGTTGTGTTTTAGCCCGCGACCCCACCCCACCCCAAAGAACTTTCCTTTCTAATGGTTAATGTCTTCAACACGGTTACTGTTGACTATCAAATGGTTTTTCATTAGTGAAATTTAGATCTCTTTGAGAAAGCTTGTATATAAAAAGTTAACAGATATATTTTATGGAAAAACCTGTCTTATTTTCAAATATATTTAACTGCTGTTATATTTTATTAGAGGAAGGGTGTAAATATTTTCTAGGAGTTCTATTGTAAAGAAAAGTATTTTTGAAAAAAAAAACTTAATGTAATAAAAACGAAAACATTTTTAAAAAGTGGTTGTGATTGCTTCCTGTTCTGCCTTCGTTATGTTCTATTCTCAGTGACTGACTTGCATGCCTCCCCATTTCAGGATGTAATTTATTCACATTTGCACTATTATAAGTTGACATCATAATATCCAGTGTGCTTAACTGTATTTTCCCGGAATGCAGGTCCCTTGGTTCATATCAAGCGCACTATGTATAGCGTATTCATAATTTTTCTTTTGTAATGTGTGTATTTTTAATAAGGATTTTATGTAACATTTTGGCAAAAAAAGAGGACAGTATTTTCTAGTGAATTTTATAATAACATTTTGCTAAAAATGTTTCTTCCTAGGTCAGTTTTTGTTAAGATGAAACAAAAGTCTTATTTTACCAGGGGTTTAAAAAAAATTGAAGCTTGAAAGCAAAGTTATATTTAAACATCATATGTAACAAATAAATAAAGATGTTTTATAGACTTGTCCTAAAAAGGTGCATTCCTTTAAAAAGAAAAAACAAAAAACTGGGGCATTCCAGGTTGTTTTCCCCCCTGAGTGATGAGGTTGTTTTTTTTTTTTTAAGTTTAACATGATACTTTTTCAGAAAGAGAACCAGGAGGATTTAGCTTAAAAGGTTCCAGTCATTAGCCGTTAGCCGCCTCAGAAATTTATTTCAGTTCCTATAGGTGGGCATTCATCAAATAGAGATGTAACCAAATAGACACTGTCATATTTATTTGTGAAAACCTGATTCAATATTGCATCAGCTGCTCTGAAAATAAAATATTACCTTTTTGAGTTTCATTTGGCTTAAATATTCCTTCTTTCTAGCCACTGAAATGACTTCTCAGTGCTGCATAAATGGCTAATGTACCTGTTGGTTGGTTTCTGTAGACCTGTTTGGAGGTCTGTTGATCGGACAATGTTCATCAAAGTGCCCACCTACGCTGGAGGCTAGGACACACGTTTCTGCTACCCAAGCTGTGGATGAGCCACTGAAGAGTTGGGCTCGGCCGCTAACCGAAAGGTTGGCGGTTTGAATCCACCAGCCTCTCTGTGGGAGAAGAAACCTGGCAATCTGGTCCTAGTTAAAGATTAAATCCAGTGCTGTGAAGTCAATTCCGACTTATAGTGGCCCCATGTGACAGAGTAGAACTGTCCCATACGGTTTCCTAGACTGTAATCTCTATGGAGGATTCTTGGTGGCATAGTGGTTAAGCACTCAGCTGCTAACCGGAAGGTTAGTAGTTCAGACCCACCCAGCAGCTCCGTGGGAGAAAGACCTATCAGTTTGCTCCCATAGTAAAGATTACAGCCTATATATACAGCCTAGAAAGCCCTATGGACAGTTCTACTCTGTCCTGTAAGGTCGCTGTGAGTCAGAATCAAATGGATGGCACACAACGACCACCAGCAATGTTACTCAAACTGCAATTTAGGGGAGCTCAGTATTACATGCAGCCCCTGGGTGCCACAAATGGTTAATGTGCTCAGCTGCTAACTGAAAGGTTAGAGGTTGGAGTCCACCCAGAGGCACCTTGGAAGAAAGGCCTGGCAATCTGCATCTGAAAAATCAGCCACTGAAAACCCTATGAAGCACAGTTCTACTCTGACACACATAAAGGTATCTTAACAGTAAATCCTCCACAAAACCCTTGTCCACCCTGATTTATATGCATTGCAAATCTACATTTCCAAATTTTAATGAGTGTGCTTGCTTTTTAATGTTTGAAAACAAGCTTTAGAGGAAATCTGAAATTCTAGATTTCATACAGAACTTGCTTTAAGTGAGAGCATACCTGCTCAAGATCTTGATATTCTAAGTTCTTTGGGTGTCTTTAGTTTTGGCTATCTATAGGGTCGCGATGAGTCGGAATCAACACGACAGCAGCGGGTTTATTTTAGATAGTCATGTACCCAGTAAAATAGCTATTCCTCTAGAAGCAATGTGCATTTCATTTTGCTTCTGGAGACCCAGGTGTTCAATCTCAAGACTTTCACATATTATATTCATTATTTAATACTCTGGAGCCACCATGTACCAGGCACTACTCCACACTGTATTATATATACTTGTGTAGAAAGATGACTGTGACGTGACTCTTTCTTGCCAAGGAATTTAATACCTAGAGAGAGCTTATGGGGGCCTGGGAACTGATTCAGTTCCACTATTGGAAGAGCAAAGGTCATGCTTTATTAATATTCTGAATCCCCTCACCACCACCCACACATACACTGCAATATACAGCAGGTGCTCAGCAACTCTTTGTTAAATTAATTACCTCTCTAGCCCACCGGATGTGCTTGTGTGCATATGTGTGTGTGTGTGTGCGCGTGAGTTTACCTAGGGTTTACCTAAAGGCAATTCTGAACGCCATAGCCAGCCAGCTGAGGTGTACTTTAGGAATGTGGATGAGTTTTAATATTGATATAAGCAAAATATAATTAGGAAGAGGCATGTTAGAGAATTGAATAATATTTTCCTAAGTATTAAACAATGAATTGTGTCCCCAAAAAATATGTGTTATAAATCCTAACCTCTATGCTTGTGGTTATAATCCCATTGGGGAATGAGTTGTCTGTTATGTTAGTGAGGCAGGATTAGTGTAGGGTGTGTCTTGAGTCAATCTCTTTTGAGGTGTAAAAGATGAAACAGGCAAGAGAGCAAGCACAGATGGAGGAAGAGGGATGCCAAGCCACATGAAGATTGCCCAGGTGCAGAAGCTCAGAAGAGACAAGGACCTTCCTCCAGAGCTGACAGAGAAAGAAAGCCTTCCCCTAGAACTGATGCCCTGATTTTAGACTTTCAGCTTCCTAAACTGTGAGAAAATAAGTTTGTTTGTTAAAGCCATCTATTTGTGGTATTTCTGTTATAGCAGCACTAGATAACTAAGACACTGAGTGAGCCGTAAGTGATCCTTTGAACACACTTACTCCTGTATAAAAGATCCAAAAGGCTGATTATTTCCTTTATGTAACAGATAAAATCCTTTTTCCCCCCAACAGTTTCTACTTGTATAGTGTAGTGACATTGATTACATTCTTCAAGTTGTGCAACCATTCATTCCACCAAATCATTCTACCACCATTAATATAAACTCAATGATCCCTAAGCAAAAATGCTCCCCCTTCTCCCCTTCCTCCTACCCTTGGTAACTACTAATACTCTTTGGTTTCTACATATTTGCTCATTCCATATCAGTGAGATCATACACTATTTGTTCTTTTGCGATTGACTTATTTTGCTTAGCATGTTTTCAGGGTTCATCCATGTTGTGGCATGCATCAGGACTTCACTTCTCTTTATGGCTGAGTAATCTTCCATTGTACATATATGCCACATTTTGTTTATCCATTCATCTGTTGATGGACATTTCGGTTGTTTCCATATTTTGGCTATTGTGAATAGTGCTACAAGGAACACTGGTGTACAGTTCTCTGTTTAAGTGACTGCTTTCACTTCTGGGTATATACGTGGGATTGGGATTGCTGGGTCATATGTCATCCTATGTAAGAGATAAAATCTTTTGAAAAGGGCTGTCTTTCAAAACAGAAAGGCTGGTGCAATCAACAGCGTGATTTAAGTTACAAATATTTATGGTACACACTTTTGTTTTTCCTGAACATAAAGCAAGGTGTACTTGTATGAACTATTTTGAATCATTGGCTTCCTGCTTATCTACATTAGGTTAGATGTTTGAAAGTTTAGGAGTTAGGGGAGAGATCCATGATGGAAAGGCTGAGTTTCAGAACACTCTCCAAGTCTACATGCCATGCCAAAGAAAACAGGTTGTCCACAGCCCCATTGTAGACAAAACCTGATTTTGCTACTCATCATGAGTTGACATCTGACCCAAAACCATTAGACCCATAGGCTTAGTTTGACATGGCATGGCTTGGCCCAGGAAGATGAGGAGACCAATCAAACTTCCATATTTATTTGCATTCAAACACTGATTATAATGTTAGATTTACTTATTAATTTAATGATTATACATGCAGAGTGTTCTGTTATGACAAACTACATATATGAAAGTACTTTGGGTAAATAAAGCGTAGAAAGTTGCACAAATGGAAGAAATTTTTATCATAGCCAATCCCAGTTATAAACCTTTTAGTTGCAGCTCAGTTATGGTGGACAATAATAACCAGACAAAATACTTTTGGCTTGTTGTAATAGGTGAAGTCAGCCAATGTAAATTCTGAAATACTAAAGTAACAATGAAATGAATGATTTAGGAAGACAGGTAGGACAGTGGTGTGCAGGATGGCTGGAGAACATGAGAGTCAATCGATGTGGGGAAGGAAGGGTACATAGCTAGAAGGCTATTGCAATCAGGTACAGGACTGGGCCAGAAACTCAATGGTTTGTTGTTGTTTGTTGCCTTTGGGTTGATGCCAATTCATGGTGACTGGAGGTGTGCAGAGTAGAACTGCCCTATACGGTTTTCAAAGCTGTGACCTTTCAGAAGCAGATCTGCCAGGGCTGTCATCCAAGACACCTCTAGGTGGGTTCGAATCTCCAACCTCTCAGCTAGTAGCCAACTGCTTAACTGTTTGCACCATCCAGGGACTCCTGAAACAATGGTAGTGGTAAACTTTTCTTTTTTCTTTTAATAAACATATATTTTGTTAAATTTTTGAAAAATTTAGAAATATGAAAATAAATCAACCATTATTCCATTACCCAGAGAGAATCACTGTCAATATTTTAGTTATACTGTTTTTCCAAGAACGTGTTTTGCTTGTGTCCAACAAAACAGGAACCACATAGGACAAACACAATTTGAAAAGGGAAAACATTGATGGCCTTGGTGACCACCGAGATATGATTTGAAGCAACATTATCAAGACCAGGGCGAGCCAGGCCGCCAACTCCAGGGGAGACACCTGTATTCTCAGTCCCACCCTCAAAAAGCGCGGAATCCTGTCTCTATGGTCGTTGCCGAACTCTATGGCCCGAGGACGCCGCTGTGACCCCGGAAGCGATCCTGGGAGAGCGGACGGCAAAATGGCGGCGCGAGCAGCTATCGGTGCTGTGTGTCATCGCCTTTGGCAGGTAATGGGTGTCTTGGGGGCTGCTGGGCTGGCCGACAGTTGCCACTAAGTCTTTCTGCTACCCACCGTTCTGCCCGCAGGAGCCTTCCCCAATATTTATTCCGCACCTCAGCCTGATGTTTACAAGGAATTACGACAAAGCTCGTTTTATCTCGCGTTTTCTCATGAGATTAAACATAAATTAGTAGTCCAGGCAGACACAGAAAGAAGAATCTTAAGAGCTGGAAAAGATATTGAACATCATATAGTCCAATACCCTAGTCCTTTGATATTTGCAAAACAGACAGGCTCAGAGAGGACAGAAAGCTTGCCCCGCGAAAATTAAGGGCTGAGCAGGCACACGATTTCAGACACTTCCCCTGAACTAAATAGAGATATGCTCCTCATATTCGGGGTTCTGAGATTTAGAGGAGAGTCAATGAAGCCAGAGGGGTAGGTTAGGTATCTTCTGTTTGTGGTTATTTGGGGGAGACGCAAAATCTTCTTAATCAGCAGTTCTCTAGCTTTTTGGCCTCAGGACTCCTTCACACTTTAAAAAATGATTGAGAACTCCAAAGAGCTTTTTTTTTTTTTTTTTTTTTTT